TGAAGATAATGAAATGTGTGAATACAGAAGTATTTGAAATAAGGTTTATTTCTAACTAAAAATAACACAATTACTTGTAAAATAGGAGAAAGCAGGATTTTGAGTTGCAACTTAATTTACATGTATTGTTAATGAGGGGTTTATCTTGACGGATGGAGTCAAACTAGATTTATTTTTTTAAATGTCATATTTTATAATGAGTCTGTTTAAAGTGGTCATTGCATATTACCACATAGTAGGATGGCAATTCCCTTCTGTTTCTATTTTTGCCAGGCCAGTCCTGACTCAGTTATGCTGAACTTAGGCTTTTAAGTGGCTTTTACTAAGTCACCTTATGTGGGTAAAGAGCGTTAAAACAAACATTTGTGGAATTGTGATGTGTTGCATTTGTGATTTTATGAGTATTCCCACTGCTATGTATTCTCATGCAAGGAACAGGGAATTGCTATATAGCCCTGTTTGGATCTGGCCTGGTGTGAGAAAGGGGAGGGCTGTAGAGGGTTAAGAGTGTAATCCAGGAGTGTCCAGTGTGCCTGGCACAGTGTAGCTGACAGTGATCTCTTAAGGTTACTTGTGGATAGAGGTGTCTTTCTAGTTGGTATGATACCTGTGAAGCACAAGCCAATCTTGCTGTTGACTTACTAAAAAAAGTTTTCAAGTGGTGGCTTTTTTTTCCCCAGAGAGTTTTATGTAAAATGCCAAGAGTAAATTATTGAAAGTGACATAATTACAGTGAAGTTCTGCAAAACTTGGAATATTTAGCATGTAACCTGGCCTTGAAGGCTGGTACAGCATTTGAAGCATGTGAAGTGAATCTCATTAATTATATTGACACTTCTGTTTCCATTTGAAAATCTCAGATGTCTGAAGCATTGTAGCAGGAGTAGCCTGTGTGTGTGAAGGTCTGTGACCAGACATTGTCACCAGATCAGGTACTTGTTTGTTTTATGTATATTTTGGCACACCACTGCTTTTGCACCCTCCCCTTGCTTCCATGGCCTTTGTGACATGGGGTGCAGAACCCCTGGGTGCCACCCCAGCCAGCACTTTGCTCTACATTCCCCCTCTGTGAGCCCACCTTCTGAAGAGAAGAGTTTCTTCATGTTACTTCATGAACAGAAATTGCATTTCACATTTGTGATGAACTCTGCTGTGCTGGTACAGTCTCTTCTGAGAGACTGTGCTTTCCTTCAGCAGCTGGAGCATTAGAGCACTCCAGAAATAGTGGTGGACTGGCAGTACTACCAGTCAGTACAGGTAGGTACCTTGCCAGAGAACACCAAATGTTGTGGGACTCCAGAAAATATAATTTTCCTTGTGTAAAGTTTCACATACTTCCGCTCTTCATTCCTTTTTAATGAGAAATTGCTTTCAATTTTCAATGGGTTCAGTTGCACTTATGATTATTATTCACTATAGAAAATTCAGGGAAAATAACTGGAGTTTGGGCAAAGCACTGAGAGAAACAGACACAAATCACTACACCTGGAAAATAAAAAAATGTCAGTAGCTTTTTTTCCTAGTTTTATTGATTCAGTTTCTCTTCTTCAAATATGAGAATTAAAAAAGCAATCAGGAAAGTTTATCATAAGTATTGACTGGCAAAATGCACTTGAAACGGTGCAAATGTCTGATTTATACTTGAGGTTAAAAAGAATATGGATCTGCTGTAACTGGTAAGGACGTTTTTAGTCACAGAACGCATTAGGTCTACAGTATAATTATTGCTGATCCTGACTAATGACTGTTTCGGGGATTATCTCTTTTGGAGTCAGCCATCTGCTATGGTTAGAGTAATTAACTAAACATAATTAAGGGTTGACTTAGTTTGAAAGCAAAAGTATCTATGTCTCTAGGAAGATAATATAATTTCTTTAGTTAAAAAGAATTCAGAAATACCAATATTCCAGTTTTCCATTAATTACTTTACTCAAGCAGCTAAATTAAAGGTTGGAGATGTAACTCCCCCAGAACACCCTCCAGCCCCCCACAAACTGAAACCAAAAGGGGAGGAGGGGGAAGAAAAAAGGGGAGCCTTAAAAGGGCAGTTTATTACTGTTTGCCCAGTTTCTATTTGATGCTGTGTTACCAGTTCACACAGATGGCTTGCATTGGTTGAAAGCTTACAAGTATAACTAAATTGACATTTCTGTATTTAAAAAGTATTGATTTACCAAGGAATTTTCCCACTTATGACAGAAAGGAGGATAGGTAGTTCCTAACTGTACTTTTTAAATAAAATACATTAGATGGTAAAGATTTATTCTAATGCTCCATTATTACACACAACAGCAATTTTTTAAAGAAATTGGAGAGTTCTGTATGTGTCAGGAAGCATAAGAAAAAAACCAAAGTTGCAGTCCTGAGTTTTGAATGCAGTGCATGAAAGCTTAAAAATACCTTCCCTTTTACAGGTGGTTACTGTAATAATACTGTTATGATCTGTTTCTGATTTCCCCTATGCCATCTGTATATACAATAAGTTCACTGTGGCTGTACTTAGAACAGTGAATACCAAAACACAGCAAAACCCCAGGCTTTTGTGCAAGGACTGCCTGTTGGCCTCACCCGAGTTCAGTCATTCATAGTGTCTTCAAAATGTACTTTGTTATATTTGTTGATGTCAGGTTTGCTCTCTGTGTATACAAAGGATAGTAATTTTTTTGTAGCATTAATGCACGTTTGCAAATGCTACAGACTTTAAAATCCATAGATACAGACTTAAATCATAAGCCCTTATGAAAGAAATTTCTATTAATTATCCTTAGGAATAATTATAAAATTTAACGGACGTAACCTTTGAAGTCTACAGTATATACAGTATTTTTCAGTGGCCTCCTTGTACTGAGTAGCAATTTAGCAGAATTATATTAATGGATTACCAAAAATCACTTGAGATATTCTTTTAACTGGACAGAAAATGTTAAGTTGGAGAAAAGTACATATTTAGGAGTCCTGCCCATAGCAGCAGAGATTGGAACTAGGTGATCTTTAAGGTGCCTTTCGAGCTAAACTTATCCTGTGAACCTATGAATGAAAAATTTAAAATGTTTAATAGTCTTTTGCATTGGTAAAGTTTTTAAAGGAAACAGGTTTTGTGATTTCTACTGTGTGTTCTGAAGGAAAAGTTCATAGCCGTCATATTTGGTGTGGTAGTAAATGCTTTTTTGTACCACATCTGTGTAGGTAGTTGACTTTTCTGTGTTTGCAGAAAAAAATATTTTCTTGTGCATGCATGAAAACTGTGTGACTGTAAATAATAAAAGAAGAAAAGCAGGTAGGTCTTTCAGTATTGTTCTGTGCAGACGCGTTGTTCCGCAGTGGGTGTCAGGGGTGGGTAGCACTGGCTGAGATGCTGCAGTTCCCTCGTGAGCAGAACCTTTGCTGTGGGAAGGGGGTACTCGTGGTTCTGGTAGCTGGTCAAGTCTAGAGACCTCAGCTGGTACACAGAAATGACCACACAGAAAAATTACTGGCTATAAGGAATGAATAATTTAGTTAAAATGGGCACAGTGTATCTTCCAGGTATTTTGTGTGTTTCTCTGTCTTTTGCATTTCCTGTGGCTTTTAAAGATTCTTTCTTAATCCTGAGATGAACCAAGGATACTGTGTCTTTCTGAAGAAGTAGGGAACAGCATTTGTGCTGGCTTTCCAAATTAAAAGTTGCTGTTGTAACAGTACTTTGGGTCAGAAATACTGTTTAGCACATCAGTTTTCTAAATTGATTAAAACAATTTGGAAGAGGGTGTCTCTCTTGAGCACTTGGCACTCTGTTGTACCAAGACTGGCAGTGAGGTTTTTACAGCTCGGGTCTGACCTGTGCTCAGGACTTGGCCCCCTGGTTTCCAGCCATGGGTCTGAGAAAGGTGTTGCCTATTGAGCTGAAAAGAGGTTCCAGGACAGGAACATGTTTCTTGGGAGTTTCCCTCTTCGGAGTTAACTTTGCTTAGTGCTTCCAGGACTCTGAAAGATTTCTTCCCCACCTTACTTACACTCAGATCCTGGCTGAGTGCTGGCAGACTGAGTCAGACAGTCTTCTGACTCTGTTGCCGCTGTGCTTAGACATCATGTGCCCAGCTGCAATTTTGAAGTAATTGAGAAACTACTTCTCCTTAAGCAGTATTTTTTAATAACAATTCTATGATGGTTGTTTTTGGTTTTGTTTTCTGAAAATGCATGTGCTTGTTCAGTGAAGTAAGTCTGGTAACTTTTGATCTAAGCAATTCAGGGCACAAATAAAAATGCCTTATTTTATATGAAAAGCCCACCACCAAAAAAAAAACCCAACAACTTATCACCTTCAGGAGTTCTTGTATTTATACTATCTCACCATAATTCCTGGGTCTTTCCCTCAATTAAGAGACCAGATAAAGACTTCTTGGCAAGCATGACAGTTTCTTAAAGCTGGAGTCTGCTGGGGAGCAGCAAGAGCAGAGTTGCTCTGTGAGGAGGGACAAGCTGGCAGTGCAGGGTGGCGCAGGCAGAGCACAGCCCCACAGGGCCTGGACACAGGGTCTGAACAGAACACTGGGATCTCCTGGGGCCAGGGTCCATCTTGTGGTCTGATCTGGGGGAGCAGAAGGTAGGAGCTTGTGGAGGCCTCTGGGAAAGCTGTAACATGAGAGATGAGGTCTAGCCTGGAGAAGTGGGCATGGGCCAGGCTGCAGAGCTGTGACCTAGCTCAGGCAAGGGCTGGAGGTGCCAGCCTTGAGCCAACATGGAGTTCCTGAGTAGAAGATGTAGGGGTTAGTCCCCATCTGAGGCTGAAATGTGGCATAGCTCTCAAGAGCACTACCTAATTCCTTTTCTGCAGCAGTTGTGCTGGATTCCTCTGGTGACCAGTGCTGTTTGTGTTATGTACCTCTGATGTGAAGGTCTCACAGGAGCTACTTGAGTAGAGTGCAGATGGCGAGACATAGTCCGCACAGGCGCTTCTGTAGTCCCCTGATGGTTTAATTTCCTGCCATAGAAGACAGACCTTTATCTCCTCTCTTACAGATATGGAGTCTGGAGAGCGGTTAACGTCATCATCGGTCTCCTCTGCTGCAGCCGCTTCAGCTCCCGCGTCTTTGGCCCTGTCTGCAGCCTCAGCAGCACCAAAAGGTGGTCCTGGAGCTGCACCTCTGAGTTCCACACTCAACACGTCCGGTAAAAAATGACACCATTACGTATTGCAACCTGGTTTTAGCATTTGTCAACACTTGTTATTACAGCTCAAATATAATAAGGTTGCACAGATGCATCAAAGAAAAATGTTTGGTTTTTTTTGCCAAGTGACACTCATGTCATGTGAGTAAGATTTAGGTTGAGCTTATTTACTGAAGGAAGGAAATTAATTTAAAATTGCAGCTTTCAAATGTGAAAGGAATTTTCAGTTGGCAAAACTGCCTCAGAAGCAAGGATCAAGTTAAGGATTGATCTAGCAAACTCTGTGTCACTTTCAGGTTAAGATCTAATAATAAACTTTTTGAATATACATCCTATTCTCAGCATTCAAGCCCAAGCCCTACTGTATTTTTTAGATCTGGAGGAATAGTTTCTTCTAAAGGAACTTGAGACTGAGAAGGTGAATTTAAAAATGCCATAGTCTTAGATAGTCTTGACAAGAGTGAAACATCTTGGCTTGAATCAGAAACTTGTACAGAGGATTTCTTCATGAAGAATCCGACTGTTGTGAATGAAACTCATGTTTCGACTGAATGATGCACATTTCATCAGCAGAACAAGAAATGGTAAATAACTTCCCTGCTGTTTCTTTCTTTGCTTTGGAGAACAGATTGTACACGTTCTTTTTGTTAACCTGACTACTACTGATTTTTATAAGGTATGCAGTAAATAGGATGTTTTTTCAGCTTACGTTTATGGTAATCCACTATTTTCAGAACAAAGTTGGTTCTCGCAGTAGAGTGAGCACACATGTATTGTCCAAACTGAGAACTCCCCTGATCCTGCGGAACCAGTAGATTATGAGTGCCCTGCTGCAACCTGCACTTGTTCACTTGCAGCTTCCTAGGGAAGAAAAATAGAAACCAGAATGTCTGCATACCTAGAGTTATGTCTCAACTATTTCTTTTAATCACTCTAAAATCAGCCGGAAAAGTTTCTAACTGAAACTTATCTGGAGAGAATAACTATATTTTCTATTTTTCAATACCCCACTACGAATTCAACCTCAAAAGACTTCTGTGTCAATGTTCATTAGACCATGCCATTTGAAATGGTTCTCTGTGATGGTTCCCAGAATAGAGTAGGAGTTTATTTATATATAGATATAAATGTGCAGTTCCAAACTTGGGATTTATGTGACTCATTTACCTCTCCTTGATGCCTTTGCTTTCTAGATATTACAGCACATAATTTTGTCTCCTTTAACCTTGTGTGTGTATATATAGGATATGTATTTGGTCCATCAAAGTATAGTAAGATTAAAGCATATTAATGTAGAAAGATGCTAAACTTTCAGTTGCCTCATTAGAAAATACATGTAGTCCTTTTCTTATATAGTTTATAAAACCTTATTCTCAAATTTTACTGAAGTTTAATTTTGTCTTATAGCTAATAGTTATAAAGACTGGTAGTAATTCCCACTCTTCATGGGTTGTTTCCTTTTAGTTTTGTTTAGTGGTCAGGTCCCTTGCTTGGCTGCATCTGATTTTTAAGAATGTATCTGTTTTCTCAAGGACAGTTTGTATTCCTGAAAACAAGCTGGAATACAGTTTACTATAAGTACTGTCTCATCGGTTTTATTTATGAGTATATCCGTTTCTCTGCCTGACACAGTGTCCTATGGTTACTGTTGCATCCACTCTGGAAAGGTGTGCACTGTCCTAGGAAAGTTTCACAGAAGTGTTTATTTTATCCACCAGCCAAAAAATATTTTCACTTGAGTGACCTATGGCTGGAACGGCAATTTCATGGAGTCAAAAACTTTCTTCAGTTTACAAAATATTCTGTAGTCGAGGGAGACTAATATCGCAGCCTGTTCCTAAACTGAGATGTTATTCAGTTCTGCTATATTTAAAAAAAATAATGACAGTATCTGTCAATCTCAATTATTTTATTAGATTCTAGAGAATGCATTTTCAAATGTGAGTTCAATTAACAGATTAAGAATGAACAATTATTCTTACTAAGAGAAGGTAAAGGCATCCTAATCTACGCATTAGAGAGGTTCTTCTTATTCCAATTCATCTATTTATTTTCTTTGCATCAATCAATAGTCTGTTAAGTAGTCTCCACAATAAACTTCGTTGCATAGCCTGTCAGGTCCCCACAGTGCATGGTGGATTAAGACTGGGAGTATTTATGCTTTACCAGGGAGATTACACTACAAATAAATTATTCTGGCATATTCCCAGGTCGTACAGACAAAAGCACATTGTCAAACCATTATGGAATATATCACATACTGGTAGTATAATTGGCTAATACTGCACTAGTTCCTGAATAATTGAAGCATTCCCATCAAGTAAACAGATACTTCACTTGCTTTCATATTCCCCTATTGCTGAAAATAAGAACGTGCACTGGAAAATAAAATTGAGTCTGAAAAGGGGTTTAAATTCATTCTCATGAGAATGTTAGCAACTTTGGAAGAAATACGAATCAACAGCCTTTTCGCACCTGAGTAAATGATACAGTAATTCACTGTTTGGTTTTTATGAGTGGCAGTAATACCTGCATGTGAAACTGTTCAGAGCTCAGCAGTCTAGTCTTGATATTACCAGACCTGAAGGGCTGTTTATTTTTAACTTTCAAACAAAGGAAGTTCATCAACAAGCCTTCAATTTTTCGAAAATCAATGAAAAGATGGTCAGTAGATCTTAATGTTAGTATCTTCTGTATGCATCATTAAGAAACAGTGTTTCTTTTCAGTATCAACAATTCTTTAAGCATTGTTTAGAATTCCTGCTTCATACTTCTTCCCATTTAGGCCAGAAGCTGATTTCTTTGGAGTCCAGGCAATGCTAGAATAATATGCCAGATATTAAAAAAAATATATATTAAAAATTTCTATTTTCAGGGTTATTAAAGAACATAAAAAATGTGGAGGGAAAAAGGAGTGGGGAGAAACTAATGGGCATAACTCAAGCACTTCCATGTTTTAAAATTCTGTCTCATCTAATAGTTGCTATAAGAACTACACAGATGAGTGATCAATTTTGAATATTGTTTAGACATGGAATTTTACCTTCATTTCTAAGGAACAGACTTAGTAGAAACAACATAAAAAGAAACAAATTCAGAGCACTGCTTTTTGGATGTTAGAGACTGAAGGAAACATTGCATTTGAGCACCTAAATAATTTAATTTAGAACCACATCATGCACCTAGCAGTTCTAGTATTAAAGCAAGCCTCATGGAGAGTTGCCATGTGATGGAGACTTGTAAAAATATGGCTTAGTAGGTCAGTGCTCTGTGTATATTTCTTATATTCTTACTCCTCAAAGTTAATAATCTGCAGTGTTTGTGTCTTAGGTTATGCAACAGATTTCTCAGTAGAGTGCAGTTTTGTCAACCCCTTGTGAAAATATCCTGTTTTTAGAAAGTTAGTCCTAGGCTAGCTCCTTTTAACTTACTATTTTGGAAGGAAGGTTAAAGATGGAGTCCTTGCCATTGCTTTTCTGTTTGTTGCCTGTCTGCTTGCTTCTGTGAGAGCATATTCAGAGTTTATTAAAATGCTGGGCTTTAGGGGTTTTTTTTTAGGTGCTGTAATGAGTCTGTGTGTTGCTCTTTATTTAAATGAATAAATATATTTGACATTTCTCTATTCAGATGAGGGTTGTTGGTTTTTTTAACCTTTTTAAGAGAGGATGATTGTTACTTCTGTGTTTAGAAATTATTTCCAGCCTTTTCCATGCTTTCCAGCTTTTTAAACTGAGGGACATTTACCACTACTATGAAGCCATGCATGCAGGTAGTCTGGAATCATGCACATAAGGAGTTTGGAAGTCTTACTGTTGTCTGGGGACATATATAAGGCAAATGTTCCTAGTCCTGTAATGAGAGAGGACACCACAGAAAGGAAGAACATGCAGAGTAACTTTTGTCACCGCAAGCAGTTCTCTAGGTTTGCTCTGTATGTTGGAATGCCCTTAGCATTGTTAGAAATACCACATTATTTTTGTATTTCTGCTGGTTGGTGCATTGATGCTTTGTATTTTCAGGTATTATTTAAGTATTTATCACTTCTTAGCTCTTTTCGGAACCTCATATTGCACTGTGAAATTAATATTGACAAAGACATTGACAGTTATCATTGCTTGTTACTAAGAGACAAGCATTGTTGAAATGTATGTTGCCCTTTGGGGTGATGCTTTCAATCATTCATCTGTGTAGCAGTTCATGGAATTGCAAAAGCTATGTTCAAAAATATTTAGCTTAATGAAGTAAGCCAAGAATGTTGAGAGTGCCGTTTAGTAAGAAATTCTGCTTTGCAGAGCATGTCTACAGTAAGTTAGTAACTTGAAGTGCAAATGCTAAAATAGAAAATAAACTAAATACTGGAATTAATTGCTAGATTGTTTTTCTTTTCTTCAAATAGAGAAGAGGAAAAATGTCATTGTTCCAGTTTATTGTTACAAAACTTTGCTGCCGTTTCTCCTTTGTGTTTTATTTCTTCCACATTTCTAAATGCATATTTAAAAATTGATAACTTCTCTTTCTGGGCACATTAAATAATGGCTTGGGTAACACACATTTTAATAAAAGGCTGTAATTGTAACATTGTATAAAGTCACCCACTCTTTTTGTGTGATGAAGAAAGTTAATAAATTAAGCTCAGAAGTTTATTTTAACTTGATCTATCTTCAAAGTATTACGCAAAGTTGCAATGCATTGCTGCTCTTCAGAATCATTAAGTATCACTGCTGTGGTCTGAGGAAGAAACAAGTGTTACTGTTGGTGGGTTTTTTGTTTGTGTTTTGTTGTTTGTTTTTGTTTTGATTTTTCAGAAAATAACCACAAATAAAGTATTGTGATGTTTCCTAATTGGATTGTGTAGCAGATGGTAACTAACGTTTAATATCACTAGTTGAGTGTGGACATCAGTTGTGGAAGAAAGTAAATAAATGAGTTTTGTCTTGTTTTTTTTTTAATGCGATAATTTACTAGTTAAAGTCAGTCAGGTTCAGCAAACATAGAAATGAAATACAATGTTTTTAAACTTAGGCTGTGTACAAGACTAGCATTGTGAGGTGTCACTGTCACAGGCTTTCTATGAAACATTTATTTTCAGGAGGCATTTAAATGAAAGTGCATCGACATCTTTACTGGAGAGGCTTTAATTACTTAAGATCAGAATTGCTGTGAGAAATTCCTGTCACTTAAGAAGTTCCTAAGTGTTGTTTTCTATTATAGATTTAGTAAATCTGCTCTGGATTATGCACAGCAACATGCTTACAGAAATACTGAAGTACATTATTTGAATAACTGAAGTTTGTTTTCCATGTGCTTGTGGTGCAGAATGGTGGCGAACAGCGGACACGCACTCTCGTCCAGGGGCAGCTTTTTTCCCGCCGCTCTTGGGAATTCCACCACTGTTTGCACCTCCTGCACAGAATCATGATTCTGCTCCGTTCCACTCAAGAGCTACAGGAAAAAATAGTCGGAGCAGTACAGAAAAAGGTAATGGCTGAAGTTGTAGAGGGAGTTATTACTTTGAACTTGGGCACATACAGAAAGATGTGGAGTTTGAGCTGTGTCTGTCGGCACTCTTCCCAGTCCTACACAGGTCTGTAAGAACTGATACTATTAGCTAAGCATGAGATGCGTGTGGGTTTCCAATAATGAAATATTCTTTCTACTTATATTTTTCCCCTCTTTCCTTAGGTAGTTTTTGTGGGACCAAGTAGTTGGGGAAAAGTTTTCCTTTAAAGCCAGTAGTTTGATTTAGGAGGCCTTGTGCTTCTCTAGTGAATGCTGTTCCTCTGTGTGTAAGAAGTGCAGGCATCAGGTGGGTGGTTGTTGTGGGTCATGGAGGGAGGGATGGCCAGGGCTACAGGATCTCCATGAAAACAGCCCAGGGGCATAAGAACTTGCACTTCAGCCAGTGTTTTATGTAGTTGTGTTGCATGCCTGTTGAGGGTGTGAGATACACTTGTTTAGTGTTTGATACCATGTTTGCTCAGCATAGAGGAGAGGGGTTGAGAGGTGACTTTGTTGCTGTCTGTGGCTTCCTGGGGAGGGGGAAGGGGCTGGTCTCTTTTCTCTGGTGTCTGGTGATGGGACAAAAGGCAATGGCTTGAAGTTGCATCAAGGGGAGTTCACCTTGGGTATTAGGAAGTGTTGTTCATTGAGAGGGTTCATCAGGGGTTTCAACCTCAAGCCTGTCAGTGTTCAAGAAGCATTTGTACAATGGTCTAAAAATCTAAACCTGATCTGAGTTGTCCTATGTGGAGCCAGGAGTTGGACTTCCTGATTGCTGTGGAACCCTTGCAGCTCAGGATCGTCTGTTCTGTGATTCTGTGATGTGTAAAGCTGCTGCTTCTTCTTGTTTGTTTGTTTTGGTTTTGGTGGGTTTTAGGACCCGATGTGTGTTTTGGAATCAGTCTGATTGATAATAGTCCTGGGATGGCAGAGCAGCAAGTTTGTGCAGTTAGGGATATTTTTGTAGAAAACTAGAGTCTTCTTGACAGATGAGTAAAAAAGCTTGAATGTGGATGCTCCTTCAAACAGCATTCCCACAGCTTGGACCACCTTGTTCTACACATTGCAAAACTCATAAAATATCTTGGGCTTTATGTGGTTTTCTTTGCAGCTGATTGATAACTTCAAAATTGTAAACAAATTATTCTGTGAGATACTTACTGGAATGTATATTTTTGTGTCATCTTAAAAATCTTATTTTTGTGTCCTTGACTAAACTCAAGGACAGCTTGTGATTAAAAATGGACAATTTCATATTTTTTACTTACTTCTGCTTTGTTTTGTGTTGTTTTTTCCTCTCCTTACAGTGTTAAATGTGTTTTTCCTTTAATTCATAAGTTCTATGCATATTTTAATTCAAAGAACTCCACGAACAAATCAAGAGTGACTCTTGGATGGCAAATTTTTAGTTGAGAGTAAACTGTGAGTAGGCTAGTATCCTGTGACATGTTTAGGGAGGCTAGGTTAGCATGTCTGGAACATCTCACAACAAGCACTTGCTACTTCCGGGTTTTTTTTAAGTGTCACATTGTCTGTCATCTTAAGGTGTGAATGGATCACTGAATGGAAACAATACCACTGCGGTGTCTGGTATCAGCACATCTGTACTGCCCACCACCATTGCAACATCTGCAGGACAAGTGAAAGCTATAACCTCAGGAGCAGGAGGCTGCAAATACAGTCAGGAGCAAAGCAAAGCTCAGCTTTTGGAGACCAGAGCTGACAAAATCAAAGATAAGGTAAATACAGAAAAAAAAAAAAAGTGAGATTCAGACAAAAAATTAGCATGGTAAGTGTTCTTATTGTGCACACAGCAGCATTTTTGAGTTTCCTCTCCCAGTTCAAATTGTTTTGAGTTTGTTTTACTTATTAGAGCAAGATCTATAGCCTTGTGGGTTTTTTTCTGTAGAGTTGTTTTCTGTTTATTTGCTTGTTGACATTTTTATGAACCAAGAGCTACCATTAACACTAATTCTGCTAGTTAATGGCTGTATATTATAACATTTGTATTTAATTTATAGAATTATAGAAATAAAGTGCATTATTTTAACACAAATATTTGATACTATATTACAGTATAAAAACTTTACTATAATTTTAAATTACAATCTATAATAATGATATCTCTTTAATTATGCCTTTGTGTAAACTAAAGTAAAGAAATTTCAGAAGCAAAATGAAATTTTTAGACATTGAAAGAAAAATGCTTTTCTGGGTGTAATTTCCTATTTATCAGAGGAAAGAAGCATTATTAATGGCTGTCATTCAGCAAAAGAATTTATATAATCTGGAAGACATGACTGGTCTTAGGGAGTTAGTAAAGCGCCTGCTATACTGACCCAGTCACTCCTAAACAGCTTTGCTACTCTTGGAATCAAGACTACTTAGTCTAAACACAGGGAATGGGATACTGGGAAATAAATTATTGTCAGAAGAGAAGTGAGGGGACTCACTCCCTCCTAGGCTAAAATACATCTAGGCTAAAATACTTGTATTTCTTGATACTCGTTTTTATATTTCTTGTGTGAGTGACGTGGGCTGGCCTGTTGCTTATTTTCTTTCTGTTACTGCAAGACATTCAAGCTCCCAAATCGGAGTGTTCTTTGGTGAGAAGTTGGCATCTTCAGAGGACAGCTGCTGTTTGCTTGTATCTGCATTAAAACAGCTGGTACCACTAAAATGGTTAATTCTGTTTGTGTAGTGATGTGGTCTTTGATAACAAGGAAATTAGCATATTGAAGAACATGTTACCTCAAAACATTTTTCATATCCTCAACAATCAAAAACTTTTGAAGGTATTAAGGTAGTTGTACGTATTAGGGAAATCTTTGACTTCTTCAGGGTTAAATGCTAGAAATGGTCCTTCCTTTCTGAAGTGGTGCTTTTATCCTGGCTATCGGTGGGCAAAATGTCAGCTTCATTTCTCTAATGCAGAGGTAAAGCTTTTTTCCAGATAATGTCTCTGCATTTCTGGAGACACATGCAGCTAGCTATCTGTCTGTCTGTCTATCTATCTATCAGCATCCTCTTCAGTATCTCCAAATATTTTCCCAAAAGTATATCATCAGTAGATGAGCTGAGACTTCACCTCTTTTTGTCTTTTTTATTTTTCTTGAAATGTTAAGATGTTTGTTAGCATTGTTATCTGTTCCTTCATATTGCCATGTGTCTTAAAGTGTAAGTTCTGTATCTGTTTTCTTTTGATGTGGGTGCTGATTTCAAATTCCAGGTTCGGTTTGCTAAATACTAAGCTGCTGTAAAGCAAGGTGTTCTTTCAGTGTACCCTTAGCACAGTGTGCCCTCAGCACAATGTACCCTCCATCAGAGGCGGTGGTAAATGGGTCTTTTTCAAACTGGCATCTGGGCACAAAGAGGGTCCCACAGGGATCAATACTGGGCCTGAGCTGTTTAATATCTTCATAAGTGTTCTGGATGTTGGGATCAAGTGCACTCTGAAGTTTACAGATGACAAGAAGTTGAGTGTGGAAGTAAACTCTCTGGAAGGGAGGGCCAACCTCTAGGAAGACCTGGACAGGTTGGAAGAGTGGGCTGACAAGAACCTTATGAAGTTTAGTGGGGAAGAGTGTAAGATCTTGCACCTGGGAAAACATAATCCAGTAGTGCACTCAGACTGGGGTCCACCTGGCTGGAGAGTAGTTCTGTGGAAAGGGACCTGGAGATCCTGGTGGACAAGCCCAGTATGAATGAAGTGTGCTGCAGTGGCAAAGAAAGCCACCAGGATGCTGGGTTGCATCTACAAGGGTGTCAGTAGCAAAGGTCAAGAAGTCATCATCCCACTGCACTTGGGGCTTGTCAGACCAGACCTGGAACACTGTTCAGTTCTCATCCTCCTGTACAAAAAAGGTGTGCATAGGCTGTAGAAGGTGCAGAGAAGAGGCACAAATAAGATCAAAGGACTGGGAAGCCTGACATATGAGGAAAGATGGAGAGAACTGGGTTTGTTCAGCCTGCAGAAGAGAAGGCTTGGGGGAGACCTTCTTGCCATGTTCCAGGGCCTACAGGGTGGCTACAAAGAAGATGGAGACTCCGTATATCAAGGAGTCACATGGAAAAGACATGGGGCAATGGGCACAAGTTCTCCTGGGGAGATTCTGATTGGACACAAGGTAAATTTTTCACCATGAGAACAGTCAAATATTGGAATAGTGTCTCCCAAGGGAAGTGCTAGATCCCCCCACACTGGACAGTTTTAAGTCTCAGCTTGACAGGGTTCTGAGCCATCTCATACCAACTAGAGTAGTACCTGGAAAGGTTGGAGCAGATAATCCTTGAGGTCCCTTCCACCCTGGCATTCTGTGATTTGATGAATTTTCAGGTTGTCAGCAGTTTTGCTTGTGAAGTTTTTGTAGTAATTTTTCTAATGCTGAAGTGAGTTTGTTCACACAGCTTCTGCTGAGTTTCTTGTTCCTGGTCTTACTTGATATACTGACATTCTAGACACTCCTCTAAGCCTTATTCTTCTTTTCCTCTGGAACTTTTTGAGGTAATTAGTATTTTTTAATGTAATTATTTGAAAAAGCTTTCAAATCAAAATATAATAGAGCTGCCTAAATGAGGACACCAACATGGGGAAAAGATAAAGAGATTTGTTTTAAAAATAATAAAAATAAAAATCAGTATTGATTTTCGGTATGTTAGAAGAAAGCCATAACTGGAAATGGAGCCAGAGGCAGTAGTCAGGTGGAGTATTTTGTGCTGGGCTTTGTACAAGTGATGTTATGATTTTAATTTCAAAATGTAGCACTTGCCAATTTTTCTAAAGAGCACAGTTTATTTTAAAAAGTTTTAGTTATATTTCTCTAAATGGTCCTTTTTTTGTTGAATCTGCTGGTTTCTTCAACCATCTCCTTAGTTTTATTTGCTTTTGAGATTGGTCCTTAAGTAAAAAAAAAATAAAGGAAAGCCAAAGATGATACCAAGCTGTTCTTATAGCTGTTGAAAATATGAAGTTTCTTTTTTTGTGATATTTTCTTCCTGGTTGAATTCTAGTTCTGTTCTCCTGCCATCTCAGGGCAGTCTGATGGTAACTTGTATTGTGGAATTACTTTTTTTGTCTGTAGTGTGTGAAAAACAATTTCTGAGTTAATAGAAGCATCTGATCTTAGAAATCTGTAGTTACTAGAAGTTCTCATCCAGTTCCTTTTGTCTAGGGTGTTTATTTGATAATTCAGAGAACTGTTCATATCAGGTAACAATAAACCTCAATCTGTCTGAAGTGTGAGTTTCAAATTGTGCCAAATCCTCCCTTATCCCTATGTATTTGTGGTGTATCATGTTCTGTCTGTTGAGCAGAAGGATGATGTATTGAAGACAGATGTCATCATGGTGATGGGATATACTACCCATGACTTACTTCTTCCGTAGAAAAATCTGGTAACTGTTACTTTTACTTGGCTGTGTTGGTCACTGTCTTGATAACTTGGCATGCTTTAGTTGTCTTCTTGTAAGCCTGGCCTGTTTGTGACCAAGGTGACACAGAATAAGCAGATACACTTTGTAAATAATAATTCATTGGAATGTGCTGCTTCTGACTCACCAAAGAAATGTATGAGTAAATTCTTTTTAAACTATCACTATTAATGTTTTTATGGGACTGTCGCATTGGGTCATTAAGGTCGGGCTGTTTTTCTTGGTACACTTGCTCAGTCTGGATTATTGCTTTCTGAACAATAAGCATTTTCAATTAGCATAACCATCCAGCAGATTTGCTAAAGCCAGTGAAGCGAAATCAAATATGAAATTTATTTTAATTGAACCCACTCTTGCTTCAACTTTTATGACTATATTGTTGCCAATAGAGGAGCTATCTGGAAGTGAAGTTTTCTCTTTTAATATAACTTAATAATAATTTTTTTGGCTGTATTTCATGAAGAGTCTTGTATTATCTTTTTCTAAATAATATTTTTTTTATATTCCATGAATGTCTGTCTGGTCTTACATGTATCTTCGGAAGTCTAATGCTCTCTTTTTGTCTTTATGTATTTCAGATGAAGTAAAACAGTACTTACATTTTGGTCTGTACTTTTTCTTCTCTTTCCAGAGTATTTTGTGTCAGCAAGCTTTTAGATTTTAAAGTATTTTTTTCTATTCTAAATGTATTTACAGAGAGATTTTTCTTTGCAGTTATCTCATTCTCCTTCTGCCTTACATTATTTGATTTAGTATGAATTATTTCTTCTCTGTGTAATTCACTGGCTTCCTCCCCTCCAGCTTCTTTACCTTTCATGCAGGATTTGATAGAAACTTTTCCATCAAGGTTATTAATCCTTTTACATCCACTAAATGCATGAGTTTAATTTTTCCCTATAATTATATTTTCTCTAAGCTACTGATTGGCCATTCCCTCTTGTAGAATCCTACTAGTTCAGCTGCTTTGTGTAGGTTTTATCTGTGTCAAAAGATTCTCTCTGTTTATGAAGTAAAAACTACCCGGGAAGTGGTTTTGTATTGCAATGTAGTTAAATGCCTGATTTGTTTAGAAGCATTTGATTGCTTACAATTTATACTAAATTTTAAGTTTAAATTAGTGTCCCTTTTCTTTCTGGAAATAGTTCTTTGTGACTCTTGATGTACATACTGGATATTGCTGGGCACTTGCTGCCTCCTTTTGCTACAAATGCATTCCTGACTCCCTTATTGTTGTGGTGGTTTTCTTATGCTCCTGTCTGCAGTATGAAAAGATGGATTTGTAAGATACAGCAGCTAATATGTTTTGTAAAGGTAGATGGATAGCAGGAGTTTTAAACTGATGAGTGGAAGAAAACACTATCAGCTAAGTAAGCCCATTCTCATACTGTTCTTTTTCAAGGCTGTTAGACGCATCTTTTAAGAAGCTGATGTTATGTATTTCATCAGCATCACAAATAAACTGGGTATTTCTCATTTTAGTGTTACTGCAGTGGTTTGAGTATTTCCCTTTCCACATACAGAGATAAATAACCATGAAGGGGAAAAACTGGAATAGAATCCTGGAGATGTGATTCCAGGAGGCACTGCTACTTTTACTGCCTCAGATCACAGTTGTGTCCTTCGTTTTATGATCGTAACCTTCATGAAGAAGAGTTCTGCATCTGTGCCAAATATTAGACAGGAAGATACAAATACGATGTAAAGGACACTAGCAATAAAACATATAAGACCTACCACAGACTGGAGCAGTTATTTAGATTTAGAGTTATTTAATTATAAGTGTCTGCATACATTTAGGTCGTTGTCACTCCTGAAGTATCAACTGACACCTTTCTGAATTGAGCAGTGAAACAGCAAAACCAAATAAGTACACTTCAATTCTTAAGCTTCCCAACAGTGACAATATGCAGAGGGCATGATGATATGAAGCACTGCTGTCTTTGTTACAGGAATGGGTAAAGAGAACCTAGTTTGAAAAAAAGATACAGATACCAGCCAACTGACAGATGAGACTTAGTCCATCTACAGCTTCCATGTTTCATGGCTATTTCACAAAGTAACTTGAATCCCATTGTTGTCCTTTATGCCTGGTGGGCAGCTCAGCTCCACACAGCTGCTCACACATTCCACAGTGGGATGGAGAGGAGAACCAAAGGGTGTGAAACCTGAGGCTTGAGATAAAGGCCTCACTGTAGAAGTTGCATTTTTTCATTATGTGCTTCTTCACAGTTGTGATGGGCAAGAGCTTAGTTCTTGTTTTTCAGAATGAAATCTGACATTCTTGTGTATATTTGGATATTGAGATGAAAAACATAAGGCATGCATAGGGTGGGCCTTCTCAGGGCTCCATGGCACAATATGTTCTGTTTTCATTCATTTCACATTTTTAAGGCTTTCTGTGGAACTAAAATAATTTGAACCTAGATGTTTCTATGTGCAAAACCATGTATACTGAAAATTGCGTATTTAAACTTGTAGCTAGCTCAGGGAAAGCTTTGGATTTGCAGTAAATTAAAAATTATTGTAGTTTCTCTGTGATGGGGCAGCTCAGCCCCATGCAGCTGCTCGCCCACTCCCTGCCATGGGATGGGGGGTGAATCAAAGGGCAAAAGTGCAAGTACTCCTGGGTTAAGATAAAGGCAGTTGAACAGAGAAAACAAAAGCTGCACGCCCAGGCAGAGCAAAACAGGGAATCAGCCCAGTGCTGCCCCTCAGCAGGCAGGTGTTCTGCCATGTCTGGGAAAGCAGGGCTCCCCCATGTGCAGTGGTGGCTGGAGAAGGCAAAGGCCTCAACTCTGCACGTCCCCCCCTTCCTCCTCCTCTCACCCAGCTCCTTTGCTGAGCACAATGCCATGTGGTGTGGGACAACCCTTTGGTCCTGGGCTCAGCTGTCGTGGCACCACCTCGCTGGTGGGGCAGCCAAGGCCTGGAGGCTGTGACCAACATGTGCCACCAGCCCTGCTTGGTCACACACCCAGCAACTGCACCACGGGAGCCACTGTGAAAAAACACCCACTCTATCCCAGCCAAAAGGAGTGCACCCAAGTATAATGATGTTTGTTGTGTTCTACCACTAATTTAAGTACATTTCTTCTTCATAGGACAAAGATCTTCGACATAAAATTTATTTATTTAGAAGAAAGGATCTTTCTTTTTAGCTTCTTGTTTTGTAATACACCTACCATGAAAGAAGAGATTTGAAAAGTAAACTTTTGAGGAAGGTTTTATTAAGAAAGTATATATTTTAAAAGCACTGTTTCTCTGCTGCACCTGTCTACTTTGTTACCTAGAGTTGCTGCAACTTTTTTGTCCCCTGGTCACGTTGCTTTTGCTGTCCCCCAAACCACCTTTTGACTGATTCTAAACTTAACAGTTCTGTCAGTGACTCCACGTGCCCTTGTTAGAGGCTGCGTAACACTTTGCTGCTGCTGCCTGACATCTCTAATCTTGTTTCACATTTCTTTGCCTTCCAGCATTGTTCTATGAATCCTCTTTAATGATTAAATGCACTTTAATGCAGCTGTTCATACTTTCATGTCTCTCATGTAGCTGCCCTCATGACACCAGAGTCCACATGTACCCCCTTCAGATGTGCTTGTACAAGACACACGTTTGTTGTACTTAACCCAGCTTTTGCAGTTTTCACACTGCAAGAGCAGATACACGTTTTGGAGTTCCTGTGTTGTTTACACCTTTTTCTGCATTCTTGTGTTTTGCTACTTTTACTTTCCTGTTCTGGTCTGCAGGTTTGTTCTTTCCAAGAATTTAAATGCAATATAGTTGCCAAAGTGTTTCAGCAGATTTTGGTCCATTTTTCATAAGTGAATCCCAAAAGCAATTTGATGAGCGTATTCTTTTCAGTCCTCCAAACCTTATATTTCTTATCAGCATGTATTATGAATTTTTAAGTTAAATAATGTGTTTAAGTGAATATGCCACTATTGATAAATGTAGTATACATTGTTCTTAGTTTGCAGTAAAGCTTTTGGTTTAAAATTTTTTGGGAACCAGTACGTTCAGTGGAGGCTTTCTAGACCTGAATTCCAGGCTGGTTTGTTTTCTAGGCCTAAGTTTGATATATTGCTTTGAGATGTAGTGATGCCAACTCTTCTGCCATTGTGTGTGGTCAGAAAAATACTTCAGCAGAACTTGTGGCCATATTGTTATTTTCCTCATCTTGTGAAACACTTCTTTCTCTTTACTCTTCTGCAAAGACAGGCACTTGTGTTCAAGGATTGTAGATCACTTTACTACAAATATTACTGTTTTTCTTAAAGATCATGCATAATAATAGTATGATATAAGAGACGAAAGCTGAACGATTAATAAAGCATTCATCTTCCTGGTAGAAGCCCAGAAAAAAAGCGGTGGAAAGCTCTAGTAACAGTGACAGTGATTCGGGCTCCTCGTCAGACACCTCAAGTGAAGGCATAAGTAGTAGTGACTCTGATGATCTAGAGGAGGATGAAGAGGAGGAGGAGGAGGACCAGAGTGCTGAAGAGAGTGAAGATGATGAATCTGATTCTGAAAACGAAGCACATCATAAAAACAAGAACAAGGTATGACACCTCACTGCTGCTCACAGCCTGGTCACTAGAAGCTCTTTGTGAAAAATTGACCTGGTCACATTTGTACCAGTGAAGCAATTATTTAACTACACAATCTTGAGTGCTAAGGACACATTTTTTGGTTTGGCTTCAGGTTTTTCTGGGGATTTTTTTTGCTTCCTTTGTGCGTTTTGTTGTTCTGTATGTGCTAGGAGTTTCATACTTGGTAGACTGTTATTTTTCTTGTCAAGTAGAAAAGATAAAGAAATTAAGTGCTGTGTGTCTGGTGGTGTATTTAAACATATATTTCTATGGATATTGATTTGGCAGTAATTTTTTTCCTAGTGGAGTGGTTGCTTTTCCTGTTAGCTGCAAGAAGAACAAGATTGAAATCTTGGTTATCCCATTAGGTTTACAGTTGAAAATACCTTTGCAAACAACTGTGGTTGTAGTATTCCTTGCCTGCTAAGTGTTGTCTTCAGTTGCTGAAATGCCTAAACAATAAATATAGAACAAGATTGATTTAAAAATTACTATTGTGCACCCTTTGCCAATAATAGTCTAATTGTTTCATGGGGATTGATCATGTAATGTTTTTTTAATGATCTTTAACTGATCTAATACAGTCCAAAAATACATATTTTGCAGGTGCTAGTGCATAGTGGCCTAACAGATATGAAAACTGATGGACAAAAACCACATGAAAAGTCCCAAGAAAAAAGAACACACCAGCAGATACCTCTTGTGTCTGATTCCCAGACTCACTCATCATTCCAGTCCCAGCAGAAGCAGCCTCAGGTTTTGTCACAGCAGCTTCCGTTTATTTTCCAAAGCTCTCAGGCAAAGGAGGAATCTGTGAACAAACACACAAGTGTGATACAGTCTACGGGATTGGTTCCCAATGTGAAACCTTTGTCTTTGGTACACCAAGCCAAAAAGGAAACCTATTTAAAACTCATAGTTCCTTCCCCTGATCTACTCAAAGCAGGGAATAAAAATACCTCTGAAGAGTCTATCTCTCTGACCAGCGATGTAAGATCAAAACGGGTGAGTGAAAAATCACTGCTTTATTGGTCCTTTGTGACCTATGTTGCTTGCTTAACAAGATGCAACTACAAAAGAGCTCTCTAGCACTTTAAAATATAGTGTTTTAAAGTTATATTTATTTTCATGTTATGTTTTTGACATGTTTTCAGAGTTACTGCAGATTTCTGATTGATGTAAATTAAGAAAATTATATGCGTAATATATGTTATGAACTGTGCTGACTGCTGGTTGGGCTTGTTTTGTTTGGTATTTTTTTTAAAGAGCAGCAAATTATGCTTTAATTTTGGAGATTATTTACTATGCATTTTGCAAGTGCCTTAAACTCTTTCATAACTTTATATGGGAGAAAAGCCATCTAGTGGGTGGTGCATGTGCATCTGTGCACGCCCCAGTGTCTACATGATGCCATCCCATAGATAATTACTGTAACATAATGCCAGACTTGAGTTTCATGCTGTGAATGTTGTCTGCTAGACTTCAGTAAAGCCTTCAACACAGTTTCCCACAGCATCCTCCTGGAGAAACTGGCTGCTCATGGCTTGGACAAGTTACACTTCACTGGGTGAAAAGCTGGCTGAATGGCCTGGCGCAAAGGGCTCTGATGAATGGAGTTAAATCCACCTGCTGACTGGTCACCATTGGTCTCCCTCAGGGCCCGGTTTTGGGCCAGTCTTCTTCAATACCTTTATGAATGATCTGGGTGAGGGGATCCAGTGCACCCTCAGTGAGTTTGCAGACAACACCAAGTTGGGTGGGAGTGTTGATCTGGTCAATGGTAGGAAGGCTCTGCAGAGGGACCTGGACAGGCTGGATCCATGGGCCAAGGCCACCAGCATCCTGGCTTGTATTGGGAGTAGTGTGGCCAACAGGACCAGGGCAGGGATTGTCACCCTGCACTGATGAGACTGCACCTCAAGCACTGGGTGCAGTTCTGGGCCCCTCACCACAAGAAGGACACTGAGGGGCTGGAGCATGTCCAGAGGAGAGCAACCAAGGTGGAGAAGGGTCTGGAGACAAGACATACAAGGAGCATCTGAGGGAGCTGGGTGTGTTCAGCCTGGAGACAAGGAGGTTGAGGGGAGGCCTCCTCACTCTCTGCAACTACCTGAGAGGAGGTTGGAGCCAGGGCGGGTCAGTCTCTTCTCCCAAGTAAAAAGCAGCAGGACAAGAGGAAATGGTCTCAATTTGTGCCAGGGGAGGTTTAGATCGGATCTTGGGAACAGTTTCTTCCCCAAAGGGTTGTCAGGCACAGGTGGCTCAGGGCAGTGGTGGAGTCCCCATCCCTGGAGGGATTTCAAAGCCATGTAGATGTGGTTCTGGGGGACATGGGATGGTGGTGGCCTTGGCAGGGCTGGGGGAATGGTTGGACTGGATGATCTCAAAGGTCTTTGCCAACCAAAATGGTTCTGTGATTTTGTGCTTGTCACATAGTGGAACTTGACAGCTCTGCAGTCGGGGTGCTGGTGGGACTGCTGTGCAGAAAGAAAGCAAAGGTGTTTGTGATGCTTCTCCTGAGGAACATGAGCAGCTAAAATCAGTATCAAAATAAGAAAAGAACTCGTGGGTAAATTGTGTGGCCTCAGATATGTGCCTGTGCTTCTCCTTAGTACAGTCAGAGCTCTGATTTAATACTGTGTGTGTCTGGTATGTAAGCAGGTCTGCGCTTTGTTTCAAGTTGAATAGTTTGAAGTCAGAGCAATTAAATTACCTATTTTAATAGTGATTTAAAACAAAGTAGCTGAAAGCTTTTTTTAAAAAAATGTTCAATTTAATCTTGGATTTTCTTTGCTCTTAGAAGACAGAATAATACTCATGCATTGATTGCTGTTAAAACTCAGTGTGGCTGTTGAAGTAAATTTGATGTTCCTTTTTGCTGATCAGGGCTCAAATTCTGTAACTTATAGAAATTATTTGTAGCTTCTCAGTTATTTTTGTTAATAATGATGAATTTTCATAATTTCTCTTTAGTTAGATTTAATGGGGATTGGAAGAGAATAGAAATATTTAGAAATATGTGAAGTACATTTACCAAGGCAAATTTCCTTGCTAAAAACAAATTTTGTTTTAGGCTAAGTAGTAAGTAAACTGATTCACAGGTAACACACAGTCCTTAGTGAGGACTGGAAAATATTTTTATCACATAGTTTTTATTCCTAGGACAGAAGAGAAACACGATATTTCTTTTCAACTCCTAGTCACTTGGTAAAGTTCAAATAAGCTGGTCGTTTATGTGGAATAGTTAAATAAATTATAATTATGAAAACATACATCTGTGCCATTGGAAGTGGCTTCTGCTCTCAAATTTAGATTGTGACTCTTTAGCTGAGGATGCATCACCCACATAGTGGTTTGATTTCCTTAAAACTTTTACTGGAAATGTGCTGTGTGCATATTTATTTTATAGGTTTTCACAATTTCATATTGAGGTTTCAGTGTTAGTAACTTCAAGGATGCATTGTATTTGACTTATTATGTAAAAATTAGTTTAAAATGTGCCATCAAAGACGATGCATTTTCTTTTTCCTTGGAAGAGTCTAGAGATTAAAGACAGTTTGGGCTTTTCTGGGCCACGACTGATTAAGTTTTGCTTACTTTTTCAGAGCTAAATCTAGCATACCACAGTACTTCTGAGTAATACCTTTTTTCCGTGTTTTGTGTTTTTTTTATAAATTTTTTTATGCCACAAGCCTTCTCATAGTTTTCTGCTAGTATTATAGCCATTAGTGTTTTATTTAGCTTATGCTTTCAAATGAACAAGTTACTGAAGCTAGTTCTACATTGGCTCATGAGATCATGGGGCTTTCCTAAGCCAGTACATAACAGTTGTGTCATTTAAAAAATGTCTTTTTCCAAGATGATTAGTATTGTTATGAAAATCACTGTCTAGACTGATGTAGCAAGTGAGAAAGCTTCCCTACATCATTTAGATCTGCTTCATCTTGAGTTCAGTTTGTCTCTTCCTACTCGATTTACATAACTTGTAAAAACTCATCTCTTCTGTTGAAGCTAGCACCTACTTTTAAACTACTATAAATAGCTTAGCAGGTATTTAAGAATTCATAGTTTACCTGCCTGAATACTAAAATAAATTTAAAAGCCACATTTTATTCCTCTGTCTTCTTATTTCTTTAGGAACAATATAAACAGACATTCCCAGCAGCACAGCTAAAGAAACAGGAATCCTCTAAGAACCTGAAGAAGGTTATTGCAGCTTTGTCAAGCCCCAAACCAACATCTAGTTCACCAGCTCATCAAAAACTCACATCCTTGGAAAACAACCATTCTAATCCATTCCTGACAAATGCACTTTTAGGTAATCACCAACCAAATGGAGTTATTCAGAGCGTCATCCAGGAGGCTCCTCTTGCACTTACTACGAAACTGAAATCCCAGACCAAGATCAATGAAAGTGTAGCCATTTCTAGTAGTGCCCCCTTTTCTTTGCCAGTAAACTTGAGTGCATGTGGGAAAAAACCAACTGGTAATCGGACGCCTGTTATGCCCTCTACCTCTCCTGTGTTACCTGGTTCAGGAAAGGATAAAACAGTCAGCAATAATGCAGTAAGTGCAGTAAAAACACAACACCGCCTTCATTCTGCAAAACTGGTGGTGGAGCAGTTCAGAGGGGCAGACTCAGATGTCCCCAGCAGTAAGGACTCTGATGACTCAAATGATGATGATGACGACGATGAAGATGAAGATGACGACGATGAAGATGAAGATTCTGATGATAGCCAATCAGGTGGTTTAAACTTTTTAATAGGAAAAGCAGAAACTTTATTTTTTGAGTGTTGAAAACATGCATTTCTCACTATATTTTAATAGAGGGGTAGGAAATTTTAGGACAGCATGGCCCACACATGTCCTACAGATACCCTTGAAAGTAGTGCATGTCTCCCAGTCCCCCACTGTCACATCCAAGATCATGTTTTGGGTATTCTGATTGTTGGTCATATGGCAGGCATACTTTCAGCTGTCCTGGTAAGATGGCTCCACAGCCCTCTGGAAAGGCTGTCAAAGACCTACCTGCCAGATCAGTCACTCAGCCTGCAGCTCATGTGTTGCTTGTGTGGCAACGTGCCCAGGATAGGGATGGAGAGAAGAGGCTGGCTGATGGTTAATTATTCTGGCAGGTAGAGTCCATCTGCAGAGCAGACTTGCCCAACCAGGTAGGAACTAAACAAAGGCCTTCAAATGGTCAAAAGCTGAAAGAAAAGCATGTTGCTAGGCTTCATTCAGGAGCACAGTAGTCAATGAGCAAGATTAAGGTACCAGGACATTTGTAAGGGCTGCATTGATCATAGACAGTGTTCAGACTACTGTTTTAAGGACTCCTAAGCAATTCAGAAAACCAAGGCCTTGTAAAGACCTGATTGTATTCCCAGTCACTCCTTTCTCCCCTGTGTGCCAGTATCCCTCAGGTCCAGCTTCACCTTCATTATTGTCTTTACCCCTTTCATCCACACACCCTATACTAATCCTTCTCTTTTCCTTGCAGCTGTATCCTGTCTTCAGTTCCTTCTCCTGTCTACCCTTTGCTCTATCTGTAACTCTTCTTTGTCCAGATGGCCACACTTACAATTCTAACATCTTTCAGCCTATTCCCAGTTCCATCCTTTGCTTCCTCTTCATGCTGAGTCTCACAGCCTGTAGCAGTGTTCAGCCGCTGCCTGGCTCACAGGGGATGTGCAGCTGTAGCTCATTCTAGGGCAAACAATCTGTTTAAGAACTGCAGCTTCTGTCTCTCATCCCCTCATGGAAAAACAAAGACTTCCATCCATTAACATACGAAAGTATTATATGCTGTCATATTTGTAGTAATTTTAAACTTGAGTTGGTTTATTTTAACCTATTTATATTGAAGAGATGTAATAAAAAACATGGAAGTCAGAAAATCTTCCTATGTAATAAGACAAAAGACTTTGAAAATGTTAGAACTTGATAACTAATTGCAAATATATTTAAGTCATAATGTGCCTTTTGCCATGCTTTGTTTTAAACAGACTCTGACAGTAATTCTGAGTCAGATACAGAAGGATCTGAGGATGAAGATGATGAGGATGATAAAGATCAAGATGAATCGGATACAGACACAGAGGGGGAAAAGACTCCACTGAAACTGAATAAAACGTCATCCTCTGTGAAGAGCTCTTCCCTTGGTCTGGCTGCTCACTCCACCCCACTCAACCTCCAGGCAGCACAGCCCCCGGGCTCTGCTCCTGCTGCCTTGTGTCCCGAGTCCCAGCCTGCGGCTTTCCTGGGCCCTGCGCCACCCGCTCTCGCACCTGCTGCACACGGTGGTATCCCAATGTCTTTTGGTTCAATACAGTGCAAAATCCAAGTGCCATGTGTTGTAAGGGCATTATAAAAGTAGTTTAGTCACTGATAGCAAGTGGTATCTCAACATAAGAAATTAATTCCTGACAGTAAGAACAATAATTCACTGCAACAACCTCCCCACGGATGTGGTTGGACAGGCTCATCTAGGCTCCGTTTCCCATGGAAGGTTGGACCAGATGATCTTTTGAGGTCCCTTCCAACTTGGACTATTCTGTGATCTTTTCACAAGAGTTGGCAAAAGAGATTAAAATCAGTCACCAGAATTGCACATTCTCAAGACTATATTGCGCTTAGTCCAGGACAGTGCAGCTCATACAATTTTTTGAGAGAAGGAAGGATAAAAGAACCAGAGTTGATCTTTATTGCACTAATTATATAATATGTATTGTAGTATATAATATTACAGAGTTGGTCTTTATTTCACTTCATTACTATTATTGATGATATTGATGATCTTGATAAGGACATAGAGTGTATCGTCAATGAGTTTGCAGATGACACCAAGCTAGGCAGGAGCGTTGATCTGCATGAGGATAGGGAGGCTCTACGGAGAGACTTGGATAGATTGGATCGTTGGGCTGATGTTAATGGTCTGGGCTTCAATAAGTGCCGAGTCCTGCACTTGGGCCACAACAACCCCAGGCAACACTCCAGGCTGAGGGAAGCATGGCTGAAAAGTGTCTGGCAGAAAAGGACCTGGGGGTTCTAATTGGTAAGCAGCTGAACATGGGCCAGTGTGTGCCCAGGTGGCCAAGAAAGCCAGTGGCATCCTGGCCTGTATGGTGTGACCAGCGGAAGTAGAGAGGCGATTGTCCCCCTGTACTCAGCACTGGTGAGGCCACACCTGGAGTGTTGTGTCCAGTTTTGGGCACCTCAGTTGAAGAGAGATCTCGAGGTGCTGGAGCAAGGACAGAGGAGAGCAACAAAGCTGGTAAAGGGCCCAGAGAATAAACCTGATGAAGAAGGCTTGAAGGAGCTGGGACTGTTTAGTCTGAGAAAGAGGAGACTGAGGGGAGACCTCATCAGTCTCTACAACTACCTGAAAGGTCATTGTGGAGAAGTTGTTGCTGGTCCCTTCTCACAGGTAGTTAGTGACAGAACAAGGGGGAATGGCTTCAAGCTGCAACAGGGCAGGCTCAGACTGGACATTAGGAAAAACTTTTTCACAGAAAGAGTGGTTGGACACTGGAACAGGCTGCCCAGGAAGGTGGTGGAGTCACCATCCCTGGATGTGTTTAAGGGTCATTTGGATGTGGTGTTGGTGGAAATGGTTTAGGGGAGAACTTTGCAGAGTAGGGATGATGGTTGGACTCGGTGATCCCAAGGGGCTTTTCCAACCTGAACAGTTCTGTGATTCTATGAAAAGTCATTATCTGTCTTTTTGTTATTTGCCATGTTAGTTTAAACTAGTTGTTCTAATTTATATGCATCATAGTTTTCATCCTGAGTTTTCTGTTTCTGCTCCTTCCTCAACAAATTTACTAACTATATTTAGTTAAGTTATAACTTTATACATTGTTCTTTCAAAATTCTCAGTAGAATTTGTGGATTACATGCAGGAAATCTTTTAAAAATGTTCATGAAAAGTACATTTAGCATTTGCCTTATGTAGTGTTTATAAATCTTCATTTGGTGTGTAATCTGTAAGTTTTTGTAATTACTACTTCTACAGAAAATAATGCATTTTTGAAAGGCACACTGCTCAATTTGCATGGTAACAATTGCTTGAAATTGCATATTTACTACTTTGAATTAGAAACGTAATTTTTAATTGACATGAAAGTAAGTAGATTTTAAATGGGGGTATCAGCTCATAAATTGGTTTTTATATTTGGATTTGGTGGAATAGGAATTTCTTTCCATGTCATCAAGAGCATTAACTCTGGAGCAGTGTGATGTGATCTACTTCATATTTTTCTCAGAAACAGGCCCGTTAATTGCACAGCTTGTCATGCTGCTATGCATTAAAAGTAATCTAGATTGTTAGATTTCAAATGTAATTTTTTTTGGTCAGGAATCTGTGTTGATTTATGATGCTTTGAGAAGGCTGATAGTGGATCTTTGTTTATGGAGGTGGGAGGTAGAATAAATTAATTTTGTGTCCTTGTTTTTAGGTGTACTACTTTTTCACCGTAATACAATTAAAATATTTTTGTGTCCATTTTACCTAAAGCTGCTCAGTCACTGAATATGCCTTTTGTCTCTTCTCTATATCTCTCACTGGACAGCTCATTTTTTCAACTCACTGTGGATGTGCACAAGCAATCTCCCCCTGCTGTGACTGTCAGCAGTGAAGCAGCAGCTAGGTGTGTGGGTTTAAGGCTGCAGACCTTGCCTCCAAGCACAGGCAGTTCCTCAGTGCTTTCTGGAGGGGACATTTGCTTCCAGATGGGACAGGCCCCTCAGCTGGAAACCAGTGTCATTGCAGCCCCGGCCCTCTTAGCTGTCAGGGGCCTCAGCGAGTTTCAATATGGTCTAGTGTAGAAAATCAGGCATGCAAGGAATTATTTTAGCAATATCTGAGAGACAAACAAGGCAAGTTGTTTTCATTTTGTACATTAGATGTTAATCAGAAATTCTGTTTTAGGTATTTCAAAAAGACGAAGAGTAGCAGATGAGCAGGAGCTGCGAGTTCCTCTGGAATATGGGTAGGTTATGTGTATGCTTGATGATCCTTAAAGGAAGATATTAATACCTTCAAAAGTCAGTTGCCAAAGTAGTGACAGTTCCAAATTTTTTGAAGCTGAATTGTAAGGAAAGGGCTTCAACAATTTAGATTTCCAACTCAGAGTGGCTGTGGATCTCTTTAGAAGCGTCAGCATATTTAATGTGTTCGTTTTTTGCATCAGATCTGCTCTTTTGCAAACATAACCTGTCCCTTAGTGATTTTGCCACTGGAAATTAATACTCCTGGATAAATCTGAGACAATACAGACTCCAGATAACTCCCTGAACTATAGTTCTGAGCTGATCAAAGTCTGGTAATATGTAAGTAGCTGGATATCAGTAAATCCATATCGAGTCAGACGTGGATTTTGCCTGTTTGATTTGTGATACTCTTGTCACATTTTACACAAGTGCCTTTTTTCTTTTATGGAAAGATCTTAAATTGATATTAATTGCTTGTTTTTTAAAAAATGTATTTTTGTATGCAACCATTTCTTATTACTGTAGCTGGCAAAGAGAAACCCGAATAAGGAACTTCGGTGGTCGTCTTCAGGGAGAAGTAGCGTATTTTGCACCTTGTGGAAAGAAGCTGAGACAGTATCCTGAAGTAGTAAAGGTACATTCTTTTTTTTTTTTTCTTTATAACTTTGGTGTTCTAATGCTACTAAGCATGCTTGCAATTTAAAAGTGCCATTTTTTCCCTCCAATAAAGATACTTATTTCAAAATATCCTGTGAGGTGTAATGTGCCACAGTCTATTACTGATCTGATCTCCTCTAAGTGCGTATCCCTTTGATAGAATATGCAACATTACACTCACAAAGTTAGCTGTGCATCAAAGCTGGGTTGTAATTATTTACAAGCTGAAGTGGAAAAATATGTGATTTTTTCAGTATCTCAGCAGAAATGGAATAATGGATATCTCAAGGGACAATTTCAGCTTCAGTGCAAAAATAGGAGTGGGTGACTTCTATGAAGCCAGAGATGGACCTCAGGTATCCGCTTTTTAAACAGTAAAGTCTTTGTTCCAAGGAACATTAACTTAAATTTAGGTGAAGTAATTTTTTCTACGATCTGAAGCATTGCGTGTTTTTAGCTAATTCTAAAAATCGTGTGTATTTCTTCCTGGTAGCTGTATTGAGATAGTGAGAGCTTGGTCCTGGGCAGTGCTGAGAGCTGCTCCTCGCAGTGGTTTCACAGGGTGGCTGTGGGAGCTTGGTGTGTTTTATCTTGGTGTTCAGATATTTCTGAATAAAAATGTTTCTTCCTTTACTGTAGAAACTTAATACTGATAGTAGTAATGAATGTGTATGCATTAAATCACACTCTGTTCATGTATTCTTGTTCATAATATTATATGACATAAGTGTTTAAACACAAGTGTTTCCTGTATCAAGAATATTGTCTGAGCTTCTTGAAGCATGAGATTTTTGTGGGAAGGAATGCTGAGTTATACCAGTTATGCTTCAGCTGGTAGAACTGTTAGACTTTGTCTACTTAAACCCTACAAAGTTAAGTAAAATTAGAATATTAAGGAAATTGATACTGTGCTTGTGCCATACTGTTACTGTGCTTTGGTCATGTTGGGAGTTTCTTAGTATGTACATGAAAGTTTTTGGACTCCTGTTGGTGAACTTATTTGCTTCGTTAAAAGACAGCTGTCCTGAATGTTACTACAGGAATGCAGACAGACATAATTCTTTCAGCAATCTTCAATTCAGGCTCAAGTTAAGCTTTAATGTCCTTGCAATACCCTGTAGAAATGCATAATGTTTACATAGAATTACACAGTGGAAGCAATAAAGACTGAGTTCATCGTAACCACGTACTTCTAGGTAGTGCTTCCTGATTCCTGGCTTACAGGGTAAAACATCGCTTAACCCTCTTCATGTTTGGCCTTCATTATACAAATTGCAAGTTCATGTAGTTCTGAACTTCAGTTATGTACCTGAGTGGCTTGACTGAAATAATTCCTTACACTGTGACCATGACATAATGTCAGGGTATCTGCTCTCTTTTTATCCTGTTGCCTTGTTTGTGCTTGTTGCCACAATTTCTTCATTAGCCTAGTCCCTTTCTCTAGTTATCTCTTTCTTCTGCCTTGAATTCAGGAGGTGATTCGCAGATTTTGTCCTTTGGTATTATAGAACCTCAGAATGAAGGCACTGGGAAGAGCAGTTTTCTGTAGACAAGGTTGACAATATGAATGTTAATTTGCTGTACATCACACTGTAGTTTCTACTTGTATAATTTGTTGTAGGTCCCATGGAGACTTGGTTAGACAAATTAAAAGTTTCTCCTTATAAAACAAAACAGAAGAACAAAAAAACAGTCAGAGGGCCAGGGCAGCTGTTTCAGATGTGCTAAAATATGTTTATATTATATGTGTGAGATTTTGAATGCACTGGTCACAAAGCCCAAAGATAGAGGAAGAAGTGAAGAAAATTACCCAAAGGCTAAATCAGTTATACTGAAAAATCACCTATAGCAAGACAAAAGTACCTGGATCACCTGCATCTGGTAGTGCCTAAGTTCCCTGTTGCAGGAGCACCCGGATATTGCAGGTTATTCAGAGGAGTGGTGAACTGCTTAAGAGCAAAGCATGTCTGGCAGGAGTGAGCCACGGAATTGGAGGGTTAGAGAAATGCTGGAAGTTTGGCAAATGCGGAAATTTGGTGACAGGACCTGGAGGCTTGAAACTGCTGTGGTTTAGAAAGATGAGTGTGAATGTGGTTTGGGGTGATGGAGAGACTGCAGGTCCTTTTGACTTAGAAGTAATACGGACAGGAACACTGCATCACGTAGCAGGTGGAGGAGAGTGGGGTCATACTGAGCTGTGCCCCAAGATTGCATCCTGCTGGGTTTGGTTAACATGTAGTAGCAAGAGTATCCATCACAGAACTGTTGGGGTTGGAAGGGAGGTCACCTGCTCAAGAAGGGTCACCTAGAGTCAATTATCCAGGACCATGTCCAGACAACTCTGGAGTATCTCCAAAGGTGAAGACTTCACAAACTCTCTGGGCCACCTGTACTAGTGCTCAGTCACCTTCATGTTGAAAAAGCGTGTCCTGATGTTCAGGGGGAACCTCTTGTGTTCCAATTTGTGCCCATTGCTTCTTGTCCTGTCACTGGGCACCTCAGAAAAGAGCCTGGCTCCATCTTCTCTGCAGCCTCCCTCCAGGTGCTTATACACATGGATGAGATCCCCCTGAGCCTCCTCTTCTCCAGGCTGAACAGTCCCAGCTCCCTCTGCCCTTTGCTTCACAGGGTCATTGTGTAGTTAGAAAAAACTTGTCTGTTCATGCAGCTCCATTCAGATCCATTTTATTTGAGGATGAAGTATCAGTAAGGGCAAAATACAGACATTGTAACCTGGATATAGCTCTTTGGGAGTAATGGTTCAGTCATGATAAACGTGGCATGCAGGTTTTTTCCCTATAAGGTTTTGAACAAGGCTGTAAATATGATGGGTTGTTCTGTTTTTGTTTTTTTTTGATAAGTCTGAATGCTTGCTTGGGGAGGCAGCCAAATGCAGGAACAGGAAGGGAGGAAAGTGCTTGAAGTACTTTTTCCCATCTCCTTGGTGTGAAGCAACTCCTATATGCAGTAGTCTTGCTCAGAGTATCAGATTTTGGTGCTGCTTCAGAACAAATACCATGCATCTTTATAAGGCATGAAGTCTCTCTTGTAAGCCAATTCTTAAGCTTACTATTGTTTACTTGAGAGACTTACTTTGTAAGTATTTAGAAGTCTAAAACATTTATTACAGATGCAGTAGAAATTTCATACAGAACAGCCAACTATAAAATCAACTGTCATATGTGTCTGTAATGTATTAGAAATTATTTGCTTTCACTTCTAGATCCTGGAATTTAGAATGTCCAATTCTGAATTCTGCAGTTCAGTTCAGAAAGCTTTGTTAACTTTTTCTCACAAATCTTAAATGGAAATTAATGGATGTGCCTGCTTCTTGCCAAGTGCTTGTGGTTTTGTTCATTAGTTTGGTTAACAGGCTTTGACCTTGATTCTGCTCCCACACATAGTTATCTGGTGTCTTTTGGCAAATGTCCTGATTACATGCAGTATTGCAATAGATAGATACCTGAAGGTAAGAAATTGAATTGAGTTCTTATTTTGACTAGTTTCAATAATAAACCACAACCTTTGAGTGTTATTTCTGTTTTTTACCTGACATTTGTGTAGTGAAGCTTAGATTTTTTTCAAAGCCTCTGGTTCTCCTGTGTTGGGGCACAACACCCATATTTTTTCTTGAGAATATTTAAAATCCACAGAATGCACAGATTGTGCATTCTTTTATTAGAGAAGTATTTTAGGTCAGATTTTAACAGATAATTGCACACAACGCATAGATGGTCAATTAACTCCTGCTTAGTCCTGAATAGATCTGTTCTGGACTTCTTTTGTTCTCTCTTAAACTTGTGGAAACTTGTTGCTGTCACAGCGTCCTTTGGCTGGACATGAAACGGTTTTCTCTGCTTATTGAACCTTCTCCTGGCTTCATCTGATGGCCTCCAGTTTCTCTTTCGGGAAGCATTAGGAAAATACAATACACATCCACATGTCTGTGCCACTAGCATTCTTGTAGACCTCTGTCTTTCTTTTCTGCATATTTGTTATCATGAATATAATTACCCCTAGAAAATACACATTTGGAGCAAGAGCAATCTCCATTGCAACATCTTCTTGAACTATCTTGCTTCTCCTTTTGTTTGAAATCTGTTTTGTCTTTTTTTGTCTTCTCCTCTGGCACTTGCAGTTTATGGGATGAGATTTTCCAGGTTGAGTACAGTATTAAATCTGGCTTAATTGCTCAACAAAGCAACCTGTGATAAATTGTAAGTCAGGTACAAGACAATGAAATTAAAGTGCATGGCTGAGTAGTACTCTTAAAGACAGAAAATGAATTAACTTCTGTTTAAATGGCAGGGGTAACTATTTTGGATTACAAAGTCCTTAGTGATGTTGTGTTGTACACATAGTGATGCTGCCATGATTCTGCACAGCTGGTTGTTGGGAGCACAGCTAATAGCAAAGCCCTTTGCAATGTCTATGAACTAAGTGTGAGATGTGCTCCTGTGATAGCCTTAGCTGAGGGTGATTGATACTGCAAAGAAGGTGCCTTTGCAGGTCCTGATAGCTTACTGTGAGTCTGAATACTTCAGGAGCAAATGCCATTCCTTTTGTCAAATATCACATTAAACTTCTGTAAATATGAAAACTGAGAAGGAAGACTTAGAAGATAAATTGTCAGAATAAGCAAATTTTTAATGTTATGGTTTTCAGTATTTGTTTTCAGTATTTATTTACATACAAATGTCAAAACTTTGGTAATGCAAATGTATTCTTTCTGAATAGATATGAGTTACCAATTTTAAGCCTTGTTTTAGCAGACATTTCTTTTCCAAACTTTTTAAAGGCAAATTATGGAGTAGTCCTGGAGGATACTTAGCTTACATTTTTTCCTCACATTTTTCAAAAACGTGAGAGAATGGTAAAAGATTCTGCAATTTTGAAATACTCATGTTTGGTGTCAGACTGCGCTTCTGTTCTTCTCAGGAGAGGCAAGAAACGCTACTTTTTATCAGTTAAAGTAAAGTTATTTCTGTGTGAAGGCTGTCTTGGGTATTTGTATATTAACAAATTATTTCAGTATTTCTTTTTGAGATTGTACAAAAAACCCAGTAGCAAGAGTTAAATAAAAGGTGGAATGTAATGCTGCATACTTGGTTTAATTAGAGAATATAGTTAACTTTTAGTTCAGGTACATGGATTCTTGAAAGTTATGAAAATTTTCTTTGCTTTCAGTTGGTGCAGAAATTAATTTTCTTGCAACAGGTGAGGGGAGAACTAAATTGTACTAAATAAAACTTCCATCTTAAAATGAGACTGGTTTTTTTTTCAACCTAGTTGTGATCTACCAACATGTCAGAAAGCAATATTTGAAAACAGAGTACTGCATATGCTTGCAGCGTTTGTCAGCATTTCTGCAAACACTAACAGCTGGAAGGCAGTTGACTTGCAGCTTGACACATCTTGTTCATGTGTTGTTTTAACCCAGTAGTGGCATACCTGCTAGGTAATGACTGTGTGTGTCACTGAACTGCCTTCAAAGCCTTGCCTAGCAATACAATTTACCTAAGTTTTTAGTGATGTAGTGCACCATCCAAACATGGTACTACCCAAATAGCACATCAGAGATCTTGGATATTTTACGTATATAACTTACTTCAGGAGACAGTATCTCTCTTGCTGTTCCTGTTCTCTAGAGACTTTGCATGTATTTTCCTTTTTTTAAATCTGTGTTTATAATACCTGCCTATGAAATGTGTCGATTAAAAGGGTGTGCAGTGGTGTCTCCTGAAGGAAGAGGAAGTCATTCCCCGGATCAGAGCGATGGAAGGGCGCAGAGGAAGACCACCCAACCCGGACCGGCAGCCCTCCAGGGAGGAAGCCAGGAGGCGACGCAAGGGCCGACCTCCCAACGTTGGAAGCACGGAGTTTCTAGACAGCACTGATGCAAAGCTTTTAAGAAAGCTCCAGGCTCAAGGTAAGGAGTATGTTACTTTTTTCAGGGATAGAAAAGGCTTCAATAAAAGGCTTCTCTGTAGGCTTATATAGAGAATATATGGTTAATGTTTTCTTCTAAAGATGACTGATGTGTTTCTCTAGGATATGATTATACAATGTTTCGTCTTGGAAATGTGTCACGTGCTTTTATTGAAACCTTTTTCTGTTTCAAGATCAGCAAGTGCGTATGATTCAAAGGACCATGAACTACATCCTGCTCACGGATTGTATCCGTTCAGACTAAGTGGTCCTCTGCATCTGTCAGCCTTTCCATAGCTGATAGTTTTAAGTTCTCCTCCATAACAAATGATAACTTCTAGCTACTGGTTCTGTTTCACTTAAGGTGTAACAACTTCTGTATGCTTTCCCCTTGGCCCTGAAGGTTTCCCTATTTACACTACCCTTGCTATCTACAGCATCCCCTTATCTATGTCTGGAATTTCCATATGTCTGCCTGCATCCTGGTCACTGCACGAGAAGCTGACAGTATTTTGGAGAATGCTATCAAAAGACATCCTGGACATCAGTCCTTGGAATAGCAAGCTGAGTTCAACCTACCAAAAATCCTTCCTACAACTGTCTTACATCAGTGCACGTATGCACAAGTTCATAAAATTCCATGAGTTTTCTCACTTGAAGTAGCAAAGTGCTTCAGAAAGTTATTAATTAGCAGAAGAGTAGCTGTCTGCAGGTAGGCACACTGAAGTGAAATATGACCCAGAGAAGTGTGCTCTTACTGCATTGTGAAGAAAAGATTAGACAATTATTTAGGTGACTTACAAGGAAAAAAGTAATTTGATGCTTTTTAGAGAAAATGTTGATTTAGTACTGTGAGACAAATGTTTTCTGCTTTAAAAAAAAAAATAAGAAATCAGTTTTTAAATGAAACTACATTATCGGCCTGAAGTTATCACTTAATAGATAATTTTTCCTCCAAAAATCTGAGAATTGCAGGATCACTTAGGTTGGAAAAGACCTTCAAGATCATTGAGTCCAACCATTAACCCTACTCTACCAAGTCCAGCGCTAAGCCATGTCCCCAGGCCCCACATCTAGAGGACTTTTGAACACATCCAGGGTTGGTGACTCGGCCACCTCCCTGGGCAGCCTGTTCCAATGTTTGACAACCCTTTCAGTGAACAAGTTCTTCCTAATGTCTAGTCTAAATCTCCCCTGGTGCAGCTTGAGGCCATTTCCTCTTGTTCTACCACCAGTTACTTGTGAGAAGAGACCTGCACCTGCTTCTTTACAACCTTCTTTCAGGCAGTTGCAGAGGGTGATGAGGTCTCCCCTCAGCCTCCTTTTCTTCAGACTAAACAGCCCCAATTCCCTCAGCTCCTCCTCATAAACCTTGTTCTCAAGGCCCTTCACCAGCTTAGTCTTCTCTGGACATGTTCCAGCATCAGTTACTTCATCCAATGCTGTGGGAAGCAGTGTCAGAGGCCTTACAGAAGTCCAGGTATACAACATCCACAGCCTTTCCCTCATTGACCAGGCGGGTCATCTTGTCATAGAAAGAGATCAGGTTGGTCAAGCAGGACCTTCCTTTCATAAACGTGTGCTGACTGGACCTGGTCACTTGGTTGTTCTGGGTATGGTGCATAATGGCACTCAAGATGATCTGCTCCGTGACCTTCCCTGGCACCAAGGTCAGACTGACAGGTCTGTAGTTCCCTGGATCCTCCTTTTGGCCTGTCTGTGGATGGGCACCACATTTGCTACCCTTCAGCCTCCCCAGTTAGCCAGGACTGCTGGGAAACAACGGGAAGAGGCTTGGCAAGTACATCCACCAGCTCCTTCAGTACTCCTGGGTGCAGCCCATCCAGCCCCACAGGCTCAGGGATGTTTAGGTGTTGCAGCAGGTCACTGACCATTTCCTCTTGGATTATGAAGGTGTCATCCTGCCCCACCTCCCTGTTTCCAGCTCAGAGGACTGGGGATAGTATTTCCTTTTGTGTAGAAGGTATCTGTGTTGATTTGCTTTTTCCCTGTAGTTGCTGATAGGTGGGATAGCAGTGCGGGTGGCTGGTATTTACATGTTGTCAAGGTAAGTGTTTGTAGAATGAAGCCACTGTTTTCTCAGTTGTTACCTGGTGCAAATGTCTGGAATATAAGCTCTGTCTTCATTGTTGGGAGAGCACTGTTTGTAGGAACTGAATGGGTTTTTTTGTAACAGAAATAGCAAGACAAGCAGCACAGATAAAGCTACTGAGAAAACTCCAGAAGCAGGAACAAGCTCGAGCTGCCAAAGAAGCGAAAAAACAGCAAGGTAAGTATCACTTGTGAAAGTCTATGCATGTCAACAGGTTCCTTTGAAGAGCATTAATGAAAAGTTACTTGCACCTTGGAATTTTCAGTTGGTACTGATTTTTTGTTTGCTTTTGTTTGGTAGCTATTATGGCAGCTGAAGAAAAGCGAAAGCAAAAGGAGCAGATAAAGATAATGAAGCAGCAGGTAATTTTTGTGATTGCAAAATAAACTATTTAAATTATGTTTTGTCATACTGAATTAGGTATTCTAATTGTTTAGTAAATCATTAAATATGCTATTTACAAAGCAAATATTTTAAATCTAGTTTTAAAGAGCATGGAATGTCTGTAAATTAAAATTCTAAATTCCACAGTTGTTCATGTTAGGAGGATAACCCTGTTTTGTCTGTATAGATTTAAACCACCCAACATACATAATTGATTGCCAATACCAGTAAGAAATTAAAAACTGTTACTAAAGTATAGTGATGTCTTCTTTTATTTGGTTCCCTTCCTAGTCCCTGTGGCTCAAGCAGTTTTTTTGAGCTCATAACAACCTCAGATAATGTGCTGAGAAATTTAATATGAGCTTGGGTTATTACAATTTAACAGAAAGAACCCGCGCAGCACAGGAAATGTGAACTAATCCCAGAGTTTACAATGGTTGCAATTCTAAATCAATGTAACAAGACTTTATTCAGATTTTAATTCCTGAAAAAGAATAAATAAGAATATAGTTGCACAGCACCCATCTGTGGAGTACTTAGCTTGGTCATTTTTATCTTACCGTGGTGAAACATGCTGAGATACATTGATACTGCCTGAGGCTGCTGTTGCAGTTACTTTTTTTGTTACTTCACTCATCAGCATATATAAAACTTGGTCCCCTAAGCTACAGATGGAGGCACCCACACCCATCATCAGTTACCAGAATGCTTCAAAAACTTGGATAAACTGAAGTTTACATAACTGTGAATGTATCTCTTACCCAGGTTGCCTGTGGGTGCTTATTAGTGACTGGCAGAGCATGTGCTTTGGGTGTCGCAGAACTCCAGTTCTCCATTGTTGTCTGTGGCACCAGAGTGAGCTGAAGGATGCTGGAACCAAGGCAGAAAGAACATAATGCTTTGGCAGAACCCCACAGCTGTTACTTGGGGAGATTGCATCAAAACATCATATTTTTGTGTCATAGCTTTCATTTCCATTAATTCCTGAACAGCTCCAACACTGCCAGCTAGAACTGAAGTGCTGCTAGCTTTCTTATGCTGGAAGTTACATTAGTCTGGTCCCCTTAAAGCTCTCAAAAAAAATACTGCAAAACTTGATCATGAGCACCTATGTTCCTTTAGACATCACCTGGTGCTAGTAGAAATTCTAAATATACATTGTTATATGGGAACAATTGACTGCAATGGATGTGAGACCTGGTAACAATAAGTATATATGTATAAACGTGGTAATTTTTAAAATATAGAAGTAAATTTTCTGTCCCAATATTGGGTTTTTTTAAAGAAATAACTTTCTCCCCCTCTCAGGAAAAGATTAAGCGAATCCAGCAAATCAGAATGGAGAAAGAACTTCGAGCTCAGCAAATTTTAGAGGTAAAAATAGTGGTACAAATGTAATTACCCTTCATAGAACATTGTATTGTAATAGTCCCACATGTGGTTAGGACTGTAACCAAATATAACAGCTCTAACAACCTGAACTTCCAAAGGTCAGTTCAGAAACGTGTTTTAAAATATATTTTTGTTTAAAAATGTAATCAATATTAACTGCAGTCCAGACGTTCAGTTGATTTCATGACTTTCTACACAATAGTCTTGCATCTGCTAAAGTTAACAGGTTAACTGTTTCTTTGTTAGAAAACAAGTTTGCAATAACAGGATGTTAAAGCAGTATCATGCTCTGCACTGTGCTAAGTGCAGTGGATTTAAAAGACTAGTTTATATATATGCTTGAATATACTGATACACTAATTTGCTGGTTCCTAGCAAAGAGAGATTACTACTGTTCAAGTCTCCATGCCAGAAAAAATTAACGGTAATCTCTTTGCCATTTATATTTTAATGTTTCTATGTGTGCTTATTTTCTTAGATGATATAGTCAGGTGTGAAGTAGTTTTTAGTGGGGCTTGAAATTCTGGCTTAATTTTTTAAAAGTAAATGAGTTGTGAATTTTTGGACTATGAAAGCTGCCTTGGGGTAGAAATCTGTTGCAATGTTCACAATAACCTAATGATGTTTGGAATTTTTAAAGGCACGTAACTTTATTTCTGGTCAGATTATTTCCGAGTTGTGATGGTGCTGTTGTGTGACCTGTTTTGCATGCACAGGCAAAAAAGAAAAAGAAGGAAGAAGCAGCAAATGCCAAATTATTGGAGGCCGAAAAACGAATAAAGGTTAGTTTAGAGGAGCATCAACACATGGAACTGTTATTGTATATAATGTATGTTGATATATAAAAGCAGTAAATTTGGAATAATATCCATTGATAATGAAACTGTCAGTAGGCGTGGCGTATGGGTGATACAGGTTTATATAAATACATGAAGCACAGGGAGAAGTTTGTGTGTGTGTGTGACATTGCCCAGCACACCCTCACGTGAGTGTGTCCACGCTTGCACATGTGAATATCCAGAGAGGTGGTGATTTTCTCTGTGCCATTGCCAGGGGTTCTGCTTACAGGATTCTTAGTTTGCATCACTTAAAATGCTTGTGTGGTAACTTTATTCCCAATATTCTTTTAAGCACACTGTATGTGGGAATTTAGCTGCCTTTCAACAGGTGTAGTCTTTTCTGGGCTTCTCAAGGCTGCAGAACTCTTGCACAAACGTTGGAAAACGGGGTTTACAGATATACTTCTGTTGCTGCCCTGGCATTCCTTGGGTGATACAGGTTTATATAAATACATGAAGCACAGGGAGAAGTTTGTGTGTGTGTGTGACATTGCCCAGCACACCCTCACGTGAGTGTGTCCACGCTTGCACATGTGAATATCCAGAGAGGTGGTGATTTTCTCTGTGCCATTGCCAGGGGTTCTGCTTACAGGATTCTTAGTTTGCATCACTTAAAATGCTTGTGTGGTAACTTTATTCCCAATATTCTTTTAAGCACACTGTATGTGGGAATTTAGCTGCCTTTCAACAGGTGTAGTCTTTTCTGGGCTTCTCAAGGCTGCAGAACTCTTGCACAAACGTTGGAAAACAGGGTTTACAGATATACTTCTGTTGCTGCCCTCGCATTCCTGGTGTATCCCAACATGGAACTCCCAACTCAATAAACCTGCTGCCAGGAATATTATGTGTACTTGTCTGTGGTCAGTTTATGGGAGGCAGGGAAGGAAGAATTTAATTCAGATGTGCTGTTTCAGTGTGGCAAAAGCATGCAACTTGCTAAGTAAATGTTGATTATTTTTATTTTTTTTGGTAACTGTTTTTTGTTTTTTTTTCTTTTTTTAAGGAAAAAGAGATGCGAAGGCAGCAAGCAGTTCTTCTGAAACACCAGGTTGGTATATGTTCAGTTGACCCAAAAGACAGAATGCCAATTGTGAACCACTGCTTAAGCTGTATGGGGGGGGGAATCTTCACAATATCTGCTTTTTAAATTTCTGGGTTTGATTCCTGCACAAATTTTCTTTCACCTTGTGGTTTGTTGCTTTGCTTTGGTATTGGGGTCTTTTGGGGGATTATAAAGTGGTTTTATGACTTTGTGATTTCTGTTTCATAATGTTGTGCCAACTCTTTCTACCAGGAGTTGGAGAGGCATAGACTAGATATGGTATGGGTATGTTTATTTTTGTACATCTAACACCGCATTGTGATTTGGTTGTGATATGGTTGTCATAGCAATGCATAAAATGTAGCACTGGCTGCTGTCACATTACATACTGCTGCATGGCTTTACAGCACAGTGCATTGCATACATCTGCTTGTCTTGTCTGTGAAAGAAAAAAAAAATACATGTCTTGAACATGTGTATAAATTGAACATGGCAATAAATAAATGGAAGTTTTAACCAGAAATCTATGTTATTGATGTCGCACTAGAAATCAGGCTGCTAATCAGGGACTGATTACTGCAAAAATAATAGGTAGTTATGTGGATAATATTTGCAACCCTTGTCCCATTAACTGGGAATGAGTCCAGGTATTTTAAATTCAACTTGAGTTAACCTTTTTGAGGAGTCAGGATTATGTCTTTCCAAAGTTTGTAAGGTACTGAGGAGCTTTCAGCCAGTGCTAAATACATAAAGTTGTATACCATGAAAGTTTAGAATGTAATCCTAGGCTCTCTGAACTAGATTATTAAATTCCCAGAGCCTTTACCGGGGCATGATTTACTCTCCAGCTTTTCAGGCAAAACCCTCACACTTAATGCTCTAGAATACTACTCCTTAATGCATGGCACAATTTATTGAGGGACAGGCATCAGTAAATGCAAGAGTTGCATCTGGATATGTGCCACCACTAGCTTGATTAAAAGTGATCTAGAGCTGAGAAAATTAATCTTACTAATTTGTGGCTTGGTTAGAAAGATGTTAACATTTGCAATGTTTGAAAACTACTAGTTTAAAATTTCTGCTGAATTGGCCACTGAGGAGATAAATTGCAAGTTCTGTAATAGCAGATGTAAGGTAACTGACCTGTTCCAGCCAACCATTATGCTTTTTGTTCTGCCAGCTTATGAAGGAGCATCACAACTGACCATAAGTAAAACTGAATGCTTCTTTTCTACACCGTCTCCATGTTCATTGCTTTACCTTTTTGCTTTTGATTGTTCTTGTATTTGCTTTCTAAACCTGAACTAAAACATGCACAGACTTGGCCATTCTTGTCCTATATTTAGTATTTACTGTAACTTGTCTATTAATGCTAAATTTGTTACTCAGCTTTTTTTATACTCATTTGAAAATGTGTATTAGTTTTATTCTAATCTTACTTGCTTCAATAGGAACGAGAAAGGAGAAGGCAACATATGATGCTTATGAAAGCCATGGAAGCACGTAAAAAAGCAGAAGTGAGTATTGCTCTCTGAAAGGTGGAAACTTTCCTGGATTCACTCTGCAGTGACCTGTCAAAGAGCAGTGTCTTTGATGTACCTGTACGTATAATTTCATTAGTAGACGTGGCAGGGACAGGACAAGAAGCAATAGCCACAGACTGAAATACAGGAAATCTGTTTAAACTTAAAAATTTATTTTTTTTTACCTTGAGGATGATGTTTGAACACTGGTTGAATACACATTGCCCAGGTAGGTTCTGGAGTTGCAACCTTCTTTTCATAGAATCATTAAGGTTCAAAAATACCTTCAAGATCATCGAGTCCAACTGTGCACCCTACAACCCTGTGACCACTAAATCGGGTCCTGAAGTACCAGGTTTTTGAACACCTCCAGGGATGGTGCCTCCACCACCTCCCTGGGCAGCCTGTTCCAAGGCCTCACCACCCCTTCAGTGAAGACATTTTTCCTTGTCTCCAATCTGAACCTCCCCTGATGCAACTCAACCCTTCACCCCATCTCCTCTTGTCCTGTCACTGGTCACCAGGGAGAAGTGCCCAACACCCACCTCACCACAACCTCCTCTCAGGTAGTTGTAGCCAGCAATAAGGTCTCCCCTCAGCCTCCTCTTCCCCACGCTGAACAGCCTCAGCTCCCTCAGCCTCTCCTCAGAAGATCTGTCCTCCAGACCCAACAGCAGCCCAGTTGCCCTTCTCTGCACCCTCTCCAGCACCTCCATGTCCTTCCTACCCTGTGGTGCCCAAACTTGCAACCAGTGCTCCAGGCGCAGCCTCACCAAGGCCAAGCAGAGGGGCAGGATCACCTCCCTGGTCCTGCTGGTCACACTATTCCTGATGCAGGCCAGGATGCTGGTGGCCTTGTTGGCCACCTGGGCACACTGCTGGCTCATGTTCAGCTGCTGTCAACCAGCACCCCCAGGTCCCTCTCTGCTGGGCAGCAGGAGCAGCCCCAGCACTGAGCCCTGGGGACACCAGTCATGACTGGTCCCAACTGGATTTAACTCCATTGAACACAACTCTTCGGGCCTGGCCATCCAACCAGTTTTTTATCCACTGAAGCATGTGCACATCCAAGACACCAGCAGCCAGCTTTTCCAGGAGAATGCTGTGGGAAACCTTGTCAAAGGCCTTGCTAAAGTCAAGGTAGACACATCCACAGCTCTTCCGTCATCCAATAAGTGTGTCACCCTGTCACAGAAGGGGATCAGGTTAGTCAAACAGGACCTGCCCTCCATGAACCCCTGCTGACTGGGCCTGATCACTGCATGTACCACCTGATGGTACTTGGGATGATCTGCTCCAGCAGCTTTCCCAGTACTGCAATTAGACTAACAGGCCTGTGATTTCCCGTATCATCCTTCTATCCCATCTCATATATGGGGGTAACTTTGGCTGATTTCCAGTCTCCTGGTACCTCCCCAGTGAGCCAGGACTGCTGATACATGATGGAAAGTGGTGTGGTGACCACCCCCACCAGCATTTTCAGCACTGTTGGGTGCATCCCATCCAGCCCCATAGATGTGTGCACATCTACATGGTGTAGCAGATCACTGACCATCTCCTCCTGGATTGGGAGGGGGTCATTCTACTCCTGGTCCCTGTCCCCTAGCTGAGGGATTTGGATGCCCTCAACATAACTGGTCCTGTTGCTAAAAGGCTGAGGCAAAGCAGTCATTAAACACCTCAAGTCTTTTCCTCATCCTTCATTACTGTTTCTTCCTGCATCTAATGGGGGATGGAGGGTCTCCCTGGTCTTTCTTCTGTATTTAATATATTTATAGGAGCTTTTATTGTTGTCCTTTACCATGGAGGCCAGATTAATTTCTAGCTAGGCTAGAAATTCTCATTCTGTCCTTGCTTAGCTCCACTGCATTTTTGTAGTTGTGAGTGGCCTCCCCCTTCCTCCAGACTCCGTGGATTGTCTTTTTCTCCCTGAGTGCCAGCCAGAGCTCCCTCTTCAGCCAGATGCTGATCATCTGAACATCTTGATTTCTTTGTTCTGTGTTGTTTCTGAAAACAAGACTATTTTCAGACTAGCTACCCTTTTCCTGTAATGAGTGCTGCTTATTCTGCTGACTGCTTTTGCTTATATAGATTTAGTATGTCACAAGAGGACCTAATAACACTTGCTTATTATGGGCATTAATTCTGAAGATTAAATAGCCATTCTGTGCTAATTAATTGGGTGTTTGTTGGGCAACTGAATTAAACTGTTCCTTTTTTAAAGTACTGCACATGAGAATGTTTTTCATAGCTCAAATCATTACAAGTTAAGGAGCTCTAGAGACTTTAATTAGAGGGAGAAGAATATTAAAGAAACACTGGTAGTCTGTATTGGCACACCCTAACCCAGAATCCATCAAAGTATTTTCATTGAGTCAACTAATCAGATGTTAACTGGTTAAATTTTACTCATAGCCATCCTGCCACATGAAAGACACTAAAATTTTCCTGCTCTTAAGCTAATGTAATAGTGGTTTTGTAATAGAACTTGTTCTTATAACCAGTTAAGAGGTCTCAATTTCATTAGAGGGTTGCAGAGGGAAAAGAGGGAAAAGTCTTTAGCTTTCCCTTAAAAAGCAGTTTTATCTCGTGTCTCATGTTCATAACTGAGGTAGCTTGGGAAACAGCCTCTCTGACAGCAGTGCCACCTCCTGCTGGGTCAGGTTACACTACAGTGAGTGATGATAATGGCTAAAACAACTCAGACTTGTTTAGCTTTGTTGGTTTGAAATAATATAGCAGTTTATGTTGCATTATTTAAAAAAATTCCTTAAAAAAATAGAACAGCATTGATTATAAAACCAGCGTTGTACAGTATGGGTGATGAAACTTGTATTAGACCATGATAAACTACCTACATCTTAATTAATCCTGGGGCTGGCTGTTTCAGTTTTACTTCTTAGGTATTTCTCTATATCCTGAGACAGTTTTTTGTCTCTGTATCCTGAGATTTTTATAAGTAAAATGCAGATAGCTTAGAGATGGAAGTAAAATGACCATCATTGTAGGATCTAGCAGTCAGATAAATTGCTAAACCTTTTCTCCTAAATTCAAATAAAAGTGATAGACCAAAGCAAAGCAAAATGTGATAATACTTCAGCGCAAGGGAGCATTTCAAGGTTAACTGTCAGGCTGAGTAGAAAAGGTGGCAGCCCCTGCTTTCTGGAGAGGTCTGAGCCTCGGCAGATACGCCTGGTGCCAGCGCGTGAGCCAGGCTGCTGGTGTCAGGTGCCTTGCAGGGCTGGCAGCTGGTTACTGGTTACTGTCTTCTCACTCAGTTACCTTCCTGAAGTGGTGCCAAAGAATCTTCCCGTGTGAACGTACAAAACACTCATTTCCTTGTGGACAGGAGAGAATAAAAGTGAATCTTAGATATGCTCACAGATGCGATGATTTTGTTATATGTATGTAGTTTCCCCCTTCCGTTTGCTTGAATGCAGGTTCCTTAATTGCTGTGGTAATTATTAAGGTGACCTAAGTAGTGTTTTTCAAATTCTAAGGTTTTTCCATTTTCAGTACAATATGTGGGATTTATTTTCTGCCCCTTTGATTCTGTTCAAGGAAAAAGAGCGGTTAAAGCAAGAGAAACATGAAGAAAAAAGGTTAAACAAGGAGCGGAAGCTGGAGCAGCGGAGGTTGGAGCTAGAGATGGCGAAAGAGCTGAAGAAGCCCAACGAAGACATGTGCTTGGCAGACCAGAAGGTAAGCACCTGGTCACCAGCACTGCTTCTGCTGCAGCCACTCCCAAAGCATGCAAATTTTGGTCTAGATCATTTGGTAGCTATTTGAAATATGCACAGATGTGAGGTGCTGCAAACACTGAGCAAGTGTGTGTTTAGTTGATTAAAAGCATTTTGTGTAAAAAAGGCCTGTTCCCAAAATACACCTGCATGATTACTTAAAAAGAAAACCAGTTACTCTTGAGTTACTTTTACAGCAGAAATATGTATCATGTCTCAGTACACTAGATAGAGCTTTGCTCATGTGCAACGATTTTATACATTTACTCAAAAAAATTACTTTCCCAGTCTTCTGTGTTCTTGGTTCTTGTCCTTCAGGACTTGACACACCTCAAGTTCAAGCCCTATCTGTTCCAGAGAATTAATCCCCTTGTGTCCCTCAGATATTTTTACACTGCGTTTTATAGTATTTTGTCTCAGAATAGAGCCTGGGAGTGTCTCCTGCCCAAAAAATAAGTATTTATTAATCTCTTCCCTCATAAAATATGTGAAAGGATAAATTGCTTCAGCTTTAAATTAAAGTTTACTGGGTGGGATGGGGTGGCAGCTCCTCTGTAGCCTTTATCTTCCATCATTGTCACACTGTAGGTCATATGGAAGTGGCAGCCAATTTCCTAGCTAGTATCAAAGAAGTTTTCTTCTGAAATGTACAACTGGGTCTTTCATCGTTTTTCTCTTTAGCCTTTGCCAGAGTTGCCTCGCATCCCGGGCCTCGTGCTCGACGGGAGCACGTTCTCAGATTGCCTCATGGTCGTGCAGTTCCTGCGTAACTTTGGTAAAGTTCTTGGCTTTGATGTGAATGTGGACGTCCCTTCCTTGAGCGTTCTTCAGGAGGGTTTGCTAAACATAGGGGACAGCCTGGGGGAAGTACAAGACTTGCTTGTAAAGCTTGTCTCTGCAGCAGTTTGTGATCCAGGACTTGTTACGGGATACAAGGTAAAAAAATAATAATATCCGTTATTTAATATCCACAGTAAGCACCTTCTGCTTTTGAATGTATTCTTCATAATGCCTCTCTCTGTTTTGGATTTCTGTTTTTCCTAATTCTTCTCTTTGGTGTTGCTGTTCTGGAGTTACTCAAAGGCCCTGTCTGCGTTCTCGTTTCCCAAAAGCAATGTATTTCTGGCCATTTCCTCTACTCTCCCCATTTTTATTTGGATGTCTTGTAGGGCACTTGCACATCTTTGCCTATGTCTTGTAACTCCTGTTTTTTTCCCCCTTTCATTCTTACCCTCCTGTTCTACGTCTTTTTTGATGACTTGGATAAGGGGACAGAGTGCACCCTCAGTCAGTTTGCAGATGACACTGAGCTGGGTGGGAGTGTCCATTTGCTTGGGGACAAGGAGGCTCTGCAGAGGGATCTGGACAGGCTTGACCATTGGGCCAGGGCCAGTGAGATGAGTTTCAATGAGGCCAAATGTCGGGTCCTGCACTTGGGCCACAACAACCCCCGGCAGAGCTACAGGCTTGGGGAGCAGTGTCTGGAGAGTTGCCCAGCAGAGAGGGATCTAGGGGTGGTGGTTGACAGCAGCTGACACGCTTACTGGATGATGGAAGAGCTGTGGATGTGTCTACCTTGACTTTAGCAAGGCCTTTGACAAGGTTTCCCACAGCATTCTCCTGGAAAAGCTGGCTGCTGGTGTCTTGGATGTGCACATGCTTCAGTGGATAAAAAACTGGTTGGATGGCCAGGCCCGAAGAGTTGTGTTCAATGGAGTTAAATCCAGTTGGGACCAGTCATGACTGGTGTCCCCAGGGCTCAGTGCTGGGGCTGCTCCTGCTGCCCAGCAGAGAGGGACCTGGGGGTGCTGGTTGACAGCAGCTGAACATGAGCCAGCAGTGTGCCCAGGTGGCCAACAAGGCCACCAGCATCCTGGCCTGCATCAGGAATAGTGTGACCAGCAGGACCAGGGAGGTGATCCTGCCCCTCTGCTTGGCCTTGGTGAGGCTGCGCCTGGAGCACTGGTTGCAAGTTTGGGCACCACAGGGTAGGAAGGACATGGAGGTGCTGGAGAGGGTGCAGAGAAGGGCAACTGGGCTGCTGTTGGGTCTGGAGGACAGATCTTCTGAGGAGAGGCTGAGGGAGCTGAGGCTGTTCAGCGTGGGGAAGAGGAGGCTGAGGGGAGACCTTATTGCTGGCTACAACTACCTGAGAGGAGGTTGTGGTGAGGTGGGTGTTGGGCACTTCTCCCTGGTGACCAGTGACAGGACAAGAGGAGATGGGGTGAAGGGTTGAGTTGCATCAGGGGAGGTTCAGATTGGAGACAAGGAAAAATGTCTTCACTGAAGGGGTGGTGAGGCCTTGGAACAGGCTGCCCAGGGAGGTGGTAGAGGCACCATCCCTGGAGGTGTTAAAAAATGGGGTAGACATAGTGCTTTTGGGGATGGTTATATTCTCAGTGATTCTTGCCAGTTCTTTCTCTCAAGTCTCCTCTCTGTCATTTCATCAAAATTCTGATTAATTCATTATTGTCTTTGTTTCTATCCTTCTTTTTCAAGCCAGCATAGCTCTTTTCTACTACAAGACTGTACATAGCGTGATTGCACAAAACAGCTCTACATTGTTGGACCATGTCTTTTTTCATTTAACGTATTTCATTATCATTAATATTATCTCTGTTCTTAAAATGCAGAGGTGAAGACATTCTAATTTATTATTCTATCCAAGATAGAGAATAATCTTGAATATCTTGATTAAAATTTCTATATAAAAATACAGATAATCCCACCCAGCTGTTTTATAAACATTAATAGATCCTGCAGAGGAAAAATAATATGTTTAAATGTGATTTTTGAAACATCTTTATTCCTTTCAGGCTAAAACTATTCTTGGGGAGCACTTACTGAATGTTGGTGTCAACCGAGACAATGTGTCAGAGATTCTGCAGATCTTCATGGAGGCTCACGGCGGGCACACAGACCTGACTGAGAGCTTGAGGACAAAAGCTTTTCAGGCACATACTCCAGCTCAGAAAGCATCAGTACTTGCTTTTCTTGTTAATGAGTTAGCATGCAGCAAAAGTGTAGTAAGGTAAGATTTTTCCCAAATAGGTCCATATATAAAAATGTTGTAGTTCAGAAATAGAGAGTGTTCTGTTAAAGGAGGATTCCTGATGGTCTAGTAAAGAAAGCTGAAATTTGCTGTTCCTGCTTCTTACCATTAGGTACTTCTGATGTAAGAGTAGAATTTTTCCATGTTTGATCTTTAAGTTTGTTTTCAAAGCTACAGCAAAATTTCTCCAGCTATTTTCAAAGTAAAACATGAGATTGATTACAAAGAAAATTTAATAGGTATTCTAGGGGAGTAATCCAGCAGAGTTGTATAAGGCTTCTGCAGTACTTTTCCCCTTTTTTCCTTTTCTGTTTAAGACCTCTTTTGTCCAGATACATTGACTAGGGTCATAAGCTGAGGTACCAAGCCCGCTTTATCATGATGGTAATGGAAGAAAGTGTGCACTTCATTTGTGGCCAGTAAAGTATAGCATTTCATAATTAAAAAAAAAAAAAAGCAACACTGTGATAAACAACATTTTAAAACCCAACCACATGCAACAAAATCTTAGGAGGTGCCAGTCTTGAGGATATCTGTACCTCCACATACTTAGTGTGGTAAAGCCTTTCATCACTTACTTGAGTGCTGTGTGGTTTCCTAGTGACTCGTGCTGCTTTTCATATCCTGTGCTGTAAGGCAAGAGTGGCAGAGCTGCTTTGTGCTTCCTGAAGATGAGAAGTAGCAGAAGTGGGCAAAGCAAGGGCTGTACATGCACTGTGCAAGAGCTCCTGGGTATCAAATTCATCATAGCAAGAAACTTTACCTTACTGTAGATGGCCAACTATTAGTCAGGTTTGTAGGAATGATCCTTCAGACTCTGACTTTCTGTATTTTCATCATGAAAACAACTGTGACTAGCGGAATAGTTGAGGCTGGGATGTTTTAAAAGTGGGTGTGACAGAAATCTGGTCGCTGTACTAAAGCACTTATTTGGGGTCTTCAGTTTCTGCAGTGACCAGTGGATGTTGGTTTGCAGATCACAGGGAGCCTGGTCAGAGCACCACAGATGTACCAGTGATACCTTCAGCACAGGGCTAGGTGCTTCGTGGCAGATATATCTGGAGGCTTGGCATTGAATTAGAACTATGGAAAGAAATGTCAAATTCTGTGAAGGACATTCTTCTTATGGAAGGAAAGCTCATGTGATGCTGTAAATAAAGACTACCAGACACAGGTGCAGCGGCCATCTACGTTGGCATTCCTAGTATTGGAATTTCCTGCCTTTAAAATTATTTATTTTGAATTTTAACCATTTGTCCAAGATAGCTCTTTGAGACAAAGTGTCTGTACATAAATGTCTGTCAGAGGAAGATATGTGAGTTCACAGTTAATGGATTATTTTGTCTTTGACAGTGAAATTGATAAAAACATTGATTATATGTCAAACTTAAGGAGAGATAAATGGATGGTTGAAGGCAAACTTCGGAAGTAAGTTTTGTTTCCTTACATTTTACAGTGTACCACATTTTTGCATTTTCCCATATGCTGATATGTAGGCAATTTGTTCTGAGGACAAAACTAGGTGATGCAATTACAGGCTTACCAAGAAGTTAGTAACTGAACTGCTCAATTAGATGGATGTGGATTTACAATTTCTTCATGATGCATGGGATGCAGAGGGTTAGTGTCTTTCAAAATTGGAGGAAAGTCAGTTCCACTTTGTACTTTTTGTGGGACAAAGCAATTATTTTTTAATTGGAATATTACAGGAGCTGTCAAATCACTATTGGCATTATCAAAGTTTATTTGGACCTACCGTAATCACCAATGTTCCTTCTGAAAGGTGTTCTAATAAGACATGATTTTCATACAACAATTTCTGATTGAATTTTGCTAGTTTATATTACATTATCTTGTTGTTTCCCATCTGTCAATGTTGTGTTGTTCCTTATAGCTCGGGTTCATATGAAAATGCAAACTTTGAGATATTTTTTATATTTTTACTTAAGGTAAAATTGGAAATTTGTAAAGGGTTCTCAGTTTCATATCCACTGTTCTGCCATCCTACAAGACAAAATTCCATACAGCAAGCATAATGGCTCCAGCTACCAGGAAGCTAGAAGGCATGAAGGTCATGAATCACAGGGGGTAAAAATACATAGCCAGACTCAACTTCAGATTATTTTTTTTCCTTAGTCATCTTTACCTCTTACCAGGAATGGTGAATCCTTTCTTAGTCCTTGCTTTAGGTACCTGTGTTTCTAATCTTATGTCTCCCTTTTTTCCTTTTGATGGATCTCAGAAGAAAGAAGGAAAGAAGTAAAGAAGAAGGACAAGAGGGAGGTAGAAGGAAATATTAGAGCAATAAATTCTCTACTAATACTGCTATTCCCCATTTGCACAGGGTTAATATCTTTTATCTTTTATGCCTTTTCTTGTCTTAATTGGTATCCTGTCCATGGCATGTAGTTTTAAAAGTGTTTCTGATGTAGTCAACTTTTCAGTGACAGGACGAGGGGCAAGGGGCACAAGCTGTAACAGAAGACGTTCCATTTAAATATGAGAAAAAACTCCTTTACTATGGGGGTGACAGATCCCTGGGACAGGCTGCCCAGGGAGGGTGTGGAGTCTCCTTCTCTGGGGATATTCAAGACCCACCTGGATGCAGCCCTGTGGAATGTGCTCCAGGGGATCCTTCTTTAGCAGAGGAGTTGGACTGGATGATCTCTAGAGGTCCCTTCCAACTCCAATGATTCTGTGAACTGTCCATTAGTAGAATGAGACCCTTGCCTGTCCTTTTCTCTTCAGGGTCTGCTCAGTCTTTCTCTCCCTCCATCAAAATGTAAGTATTTGTAGATGTAGGATCCTCCCTTTTCCTCATGATCTCTCTTTTATTCCCTTTCAAGTAATGGTCATAATACCCTGAATTCCTGAGCCCCTCTTCCTTTCTACAGTCATTTCTCCATTCCTGGTGTTCTCCTCTCATACCTGGATTTCAGGGTCCACTAGTGCTCTCCCTACTTCAGAGCCTAAGTATCGTGGGAATGCTCAGAAACGTGGTCCTTGCGCTTGGGATTCACTAGACTTGATTCATTGCTCTCATCTTTGATTGAGAGTCTTTGGATTTTCCATTGATTTTCTGATGAACTCTCAGAAGCTTTTTAGAAGAGCTGCCTTTAATCAATTTTAAACAATGTTTTCTTCTTTATGTCAGTTGGTGTTTTTCATGAACTCTTACAACTGCTCTGGGGCTTCTTTGAGGATAAATCAGTCCATTTCAATCTTGTGTTTGGTCGTTCCTTCTGCTTCCAGACTTTGTTTTTATGCATGTTAATCTTCCCCGTCCATTTAAAAGCTTAGTCTAGTTTTTTAAACATCCAAATACCAAAGAGTTTTGCATAGGAACATCTGATTTCTGGAGTACTTGCCATCAGCAGATGTGTGTTCTTTCCATGTGCTTACAGACTTGGAGATGACCCTCCACACAAATCCGTTGTGCATGGGAAGTCTCTATTGCTTCTTTCATCTTAGCCTGGTTTGCCAGTGTGTGTTGTGGCAAATCTTCATAGCACTTTCTCCTGTATCAGATGTTTTCACTGAGGGATTTTTTTGTGTGTACATTCTCACTTGGTATAATATTAGCTCCTCAACTGAGTATTGGGGACAGGGAAAAATAAATTAAAACCTTCATTTGTAAGATCCTAAAAAGCAACATTAAAATCTCAGGTTGCAAAAAGGGATCATTGTGTTAAAGCCTGCAGGGGTGAACAAACTGAAAAGTATTAAACAAAATTCCTTTATAGGCATGATACATATGGTTGGAAACTGTGTTCTGGGCTGCCTGGACTGTTTCTGCAGGGCTGATGGTCAGTGAGAAGTTGCATCTAATTCCTTCTCCATCACATTTAGATGCATATCTTGATATTAATCACCGTTTTTGTAAAGGCATCTGTCTCATGCAATCAATCTTTTTTTGTGCTTTCTATATCACAACTGTAGTCAGGAAACTGACTCACCTGAGATGATTTGGCTATTTTTTAAGCAGATAATAATCTATTCCTTTACATGTTGTCTTCCTGACATGCTTTTTGTAGCTTGATTAATATAAAAGGGAATAAAAATACACTGTAGCTCCTTGAAGGATTAGGTAGTATCTGTTTCTTTATAAGATTGGAAATACTGCAGAACAAGGTTTTTCACTGCAACAACGTTCTTTTTAACATGCCAATATTATGGCGTACTCCTTGTAAGTGAATTTCTTTCCAGTGAGGCCACATCAACTGTAGCTGATGTTGCTGTATCAAAAGCAGTGTTGTATGAGGGGAGAAATTACACCCCTCATGAGTTTAGGTAGGAGGTGGTAATGCTGATTTGGGAAACCTGCAGTTTTTGAGACCCAAGCTGAAATACGCTAAAAGTCTAAAGTATGATGTTTAGAATTTCTTTCCCTTGCTACTACTTAATATGTATGTGTAAAAACTGTGAGGAAGGCACGAAAATTAAGATATGAACTTTCCTTCTGTGCTCTAGTAAATGCTACAGATTAGATTACTGCAGGTTTAAGTCACACATTTGATTGCCTACTGGGCCACCTACTCTTTTTATAGGCCAACAGATTTATAATTCTCTCAACAGTTGCAGGTGTCATTTTGGTACATACCTGAACGTGGAAATGGTGAAGGAGATTTCTGAGTGAAGGGTTTCTTCCCTCAGTGAGCCATGTTTTCTGGGTAGCAGCAGGAAAATGATGCTACTTCTTGAAATACCTGAACCTTTTTTAAGTTGTGTTCTCATGGTTTCTGCCTCTGCGCTGCTTTGGATACAGACTGCTGCCTTTGTATGCTCGTGGTGCTGTTAAAGAGAGCACCTTTGATTAATTTCCATCCTTGAAATTTGTAGTGTCTTTCAGAATTCCTTTAGTGCTTGACAGCATTATATCTCTATTTTTGCTTTCAGCAAGTCAGCCTTTCTTGTGTTCTCTCATTTCTTTAACGTATATGGAAGAGGTGTTTGCTGGTCATTGGATCTTCACCTGCCAGGTTTATTGTTGAATTGTTTTCAACGTTATCTTAGTCTACTGTGTCTGAAATTGGCCAGTCATGCAGCAGTCAATCCAATCATTGACTAGTGGCTTTATATGATAGTTAATTCCTGTGTATAGGCAGGAATTTCCAGTCCAGATGAAGACGATTTGATTGTTTCCTCATGAAAAGGAAATCTGCTTCTAAAAAACTGAACTCAGTGGAAGCCTGAGTAGCATTGATACTCAGTGAGACTAAGACTTGTGCACCAGACCAGAAAATATTACTTGCTTCCAAATTTCACTGGGAGGCTTGAAAGTTTTTTTTTTTTACTTAAAAAAATATTTAAAATTGTTAAAATGGCTAAAAATCTATTTGTACTGGAAAAAACGGAAGTGTAAAGCTTTCTAAATTCTCCAGTGGATTCGGCCCATAAAAAGCCAAACCAAAACAAAAAAGAAACCAGGCACAAAAAACCCAAAGCCCAACTATTTTCGAGCAAACAGAAGTCCCCTTGATGATTTCTTGCTTGTGGTTTTCAGCAGTGCTGCTCTCACCTGGGCAGTGACAGCCTCATTTAAACCTGTGCTGTTGAGCACAGGCTTTGTGTCAGCATTTCAGCTGGTGGGTTTGTCAGTGCCTAGAACCAGCACTTCACAGCACTTATCATCTTCATAGCCACTTGCTGTATGGAATGTTGTTCTGTAGGATGGGGAGAGAGAGAAGTAAGACAAGGAAAAATTACGTGCTGGTAATTGTTTGTCGTTACCCTTCTGCTTTTCCCACCCTACCTTCTTCCAGCCATCTCTTACAAAAATCTTTATCTTTTCTACACGTTTATAAATCTCTTCTCAGTCAGTCCTATTTTTGGTCTGCATTATGAGTGACTGGTGAGGCCTGGCTATTTATACCTCCTGTGATTCAGCATGTTTGCCTGCTAGCTCCCTGATAGGTGGAACTGTAATTTTTGCTGTGTGGAATCTTGTTTTATAGGGTTTTTATAGAAGAAGAAGGTCTACTACAACCATAATTACTGGTATGTAAGTTTCCCTTTTCTTTCATAAAAGGAAAAATGAGAGTTTGATGGAATGATCTCATAGTAGTTTAGGTAGCTAAGATTTTTCAGAAAAGAAAGTATATCCTAGAATAAAAAGATGACCAAAGGACTAAAGTCAAATCATATAAATTAAAATTTCATTAAAATCTGGGGAAAAAAAGAAAGAAATTAAACCAGCCTTGCTGTTAGCATGCAAATATAAACAATTTCTTGCTTCCAACTGAGGATTTTTGCTGCCTTTTTCCTCTCATCAGACACAGGTATTTTGTGAACGTGTTCTTATATGCATGAAAGATGAAGCTGAAATGGTTCTTTTTTCTAATTGTCTTTCCTGACTTTTCAAGATCCCTCTTGCATTTCTTCTAAACAGTTACTCAATAAAATCCACCTGGGACAAACAAGACTTGTATTCAGAATGGAATAAGAGGCTTATGGGGTTCTATAACCTGAATTTTTCTTGTTGACTAATGACAGTAAATATTGGGAAAACACATCAGAACTGAAGACCCAACTTGAATCTAAAATGCGCTGTTTACTTTCAGTCACATAGGAAGAAATGTATGTTTGTGCTACAGACATAATTTCACCCCTTGTCATGTGTTTCAAGGCTTAGAATCATTCATGCCAAGAAAACTGGCAAGAGAGATGGTGCAGGAGGGGGTGAGGCAGGAGAGGAGCAGCATTCCCTGGAGACACCCACCCCGGGCCGCAAGCGCCGGAGAAAGGGGGGAGACAGTGACGATGATGATGATGACGATGATGACAGTGATGATCAGGCAGATGAGGATGATGAGGATGACGAGGACAAGGAAGATAAAAAAGGAAAGAAGGCAGAAGTTTGTGAGGATGAGGTAAGGGGTTTTAAGTATAGTGAAATTTAATTAACTGGTAGGTTAAAACTTATTTTCCTTCTGTTTCTTTGTAGTATGGCACTGCTTCCACAGTCCTTGTGATAAAAGAGAAGGAAGAATCGATCACTTGCTGCCAGTTTTTATATCTTTTGAATGTTTATTATCTGGAGAGTTTCCTTCTTTTTTTGATAGCTATTACAGTATAGGTTGGTGGCGGGTTGTTCTGTTGTTCAGTTTGGTTTGTTTTTTATCCTTCTTACTTGATTTGACTTGGTCATTCTTACTCTGAAAGATTGTACTAGATTCAGAAAACTGCAGCTTTGTTAGCAAATGAGCATGATTGTAGCTTTCTCTTAGAGGACAATAAAGGTCATTTATTAGTTGACGGAATAATGAAATGTAAAATTATATTTAACATCTACTATAAAGCTTGCCTTTGACCTTCCTGTGAATTTTTTTTCAAACTTTTCTAGGGTAGTCACTGCCTGACTGTATTTGATCACAGGATGATAAATTCTACTAGTTAATGTATGATACAAAAAGGATGACTGAAGCATTTTTAGCTGAATTGTATCTACAATAGTAAAAAGATATTTTTTTTTTAGTCAAAGTGCCACAGGCCTGTAAGATTAACTGCAAAACTCTAGAATTCCTGACTGGATGAAACCTGATAAAGAGACAAGCAATACTAAACTCTACGTTTCAGTGCACAGGGTGCACTGAAATTTTGCCAGAAAATGATCCATTTATGCAAGGTTACTGAAGTTCCATGTAAGGTTTTCTGGGTGCTGTGGATGTGGCTGCTTGAACAACACACATAAACAACAGGATGTGGAACTGACATCTTTGCAAACACTGCATGAGACACCCAACTATTTTCTCAGGGAAGGAACAGCCCTTTGTGCTGTTATCCTGGATTTATTTCAAGTGAAACATGTTGAACCAAGCACATAACCTGAACTTTTTTATCCTTAGAATTTGCCTCTCATTTTCTGTTCCATCTTTTTACTGTAATATTAGTCAGTTGTGGTGGTGGGACTTTATCCTGATATACATCTGGCGTGACAGTATGTTTGGTGATTGCAGGATGATGGGGACCAGACAGCAAGTGTTGAGGAACTGGAGAAGCAGATTGAAAAACTGACAAAGGTGAGAGATCATTTGTCCTTGTTATACTCCACATTTGATGACAGGGTATCATAAGTTAATGTTAACCATCGTTTCAAATGCTCCAACTTAATATAAATTGAAATAAAGACCAGCTTATGTTTCATGAAAGTATGAATAATGCTGCTGTTCATGAGACCTGAGCTGAGGATTCAGTCTAGTGGCACTAAGTGGGTATGACTCAAAGGACAGTTAGAGAGCTGTTGATAGAATATTTGCACATCTCAGAATAAAAAGTAATATATATTTTTATCCATAATTATTTGATAAACTTCTGTTTGTTGGTCTTAGAAAGTGGTGATAAATTTTGTGTAGAAGCACCAATGGCTTTTCTATTATACAAATGACTGCAGTTCTCATGCCCTACAGCTGGTGCTTTTCTGCACCTGTGTCCTGGGCCAGTACAGAGAGTTGTGGTGCTTCAGATTTTGAAAAAAGAAACAGTGGAACAGGGTGAGAAAACTAAATGAGAAAGATAGAATGCTGTACATGTGGATACTTGTGGCCCATGTTTTTATTCTTGCCATTAGAAAATGAATAATTTAAGACTTTGTCCCTTGGTTTTCTCATGTTCCAAGTTGCATTAGCAGTCCAGAACTGCACCTGACTTCCAGCAGTGTCAATTCAGCAGAGTAAGGATTGAGTAAACAAACTGAAATTCTTGTTGCCCCCCCTCAGAGAACTGTTTGTGTACGGAGTTTATTTTCAGACATTGTTGTTTTCATCTTTCATGAGCCAGTTAAAATATCTCATTAATTTCCCACCAGGAGCTGCAGCACCAGCTCTCTTCAGTGCTCTGATTACCATTTGCTGTTACTCTGTAATTGATGGGGTTTCGGCTGTTCTTGTGCAATGGAATCTTTGATCCTATTCTCTGAGAGTCAGTGTAAAAAAGACAGGACCTACCATTGCAAAATGTGTTTTTAATGGAAGAATGATAAACTTAGGCTGAACCAGGAAGTGATTGAATTGATTTTTTTTTTTAAAGGGAGCTATGTAAGTAAAACCATCAAGGCAGCAATTGTGAGCAGAGTATCACAGAACACACACAGAGTCTCTAAGGAGTCCTCCCTGTGTGACACTTGAACTTTTGCTCAGTCTGGCAGCTAGGATGTGTTTTGTCTTACAACAAATTACTTTTTGCCCTCTTGAATTCTAATGCTTTCCCCTTTTTTAAACCAGCAACAAAGCCAGTACAGAAAGAAGCTGTTTGAAGCTTCGCACTGTTTGCGCTCGATGATGTTTGGCCAAGATCGCTACAGGCGCCGGTACTGGATTCTGCCCCAGTGTGGGGGTGTCTTTGTAGAAGGCATGGAAAGTGGTGAAGGTAAGGAACAAAAGGGAATAATGAGACACTGAGGCATCCTCTGCCAAGATGTACTGCCCATCTCTACAGGCCATAATGTTGTGCAGCAAGGTCTTTAGGCTTCACCTTCAACCAGAGACTCTCTGTTCATATGGTGTTCTCTAATACCTTCATCTAATACAAGGTGACCTGTGGTATGACATACTGCTGACATTCTTTTTTTTTTAACTACATTTTATTTATTTATTATATTTTAGCCCCAAATGCTTTGGAAGTGATACACAAAGAAAATAATGTAAAGATACCTACCCAACTTAGATAGTAAAAACAAAGGACAGGTTTTAGCCAAGAACTATAAGGCAAAACTGTATTTTTAATATATATTGTCTTACTGAAAGTTTAATCTTCCTGAATAGCAAAATGGACACATTTTAAGTTCCCAGACACTCCCCCTTCCCCTCAGTACTTGATTTGTTTCAGTAGGTTCTGCAATTTGTCCACTCCTGATTCATTTATCTAAACATTGGAAATGTGAGACACAAACTGTTGAATGATCTATCAGTTTAAAAAACACTTCTCCTTCCTCCCTCATGTAATCATTTCAGTTCTTATGATGATATTCAAACTGTTTATATCTTGACATGCACCACAACTGTGGAAGCGTTTGGAAGTTTCATTGGGAGGGGATATTCTTTAATTAATTATTTTAATAGAAATTGATATTCCAGAACAAGCCGGCAAACTTCTGTAGATGTTCTGGTCGTTAGCCACAAGCAGGATCTGTGTTTATTTGCAATTGCAGTATCTGATTAAAACGATTTAATTTGGAATGTTTGATTTTCTACTTTCTCCCCCCTTTCCTGGTATTTTTCCCTCTCATTTTACACTTTTAATTTAAGAGTTAGTGTAAGTCAACACATTGATATAAGGGGTAGAGAAGTGGTTGAGAAGGACTAGGAGAGCAAAGAACACAGAAAAAGGTGTTTCCTTTCCATAGAAGATAGATATTCCACCCCTCACATGTTTGAAAAAAACTGGCTTTTGTGCTCTGAATTGCTTAGTTGTCCCACTGTCTGATGGCATCTGTCTGCTTTGCTGCGTGTGAGGGCCCCAGTTGTCCTGCTGAGTGGCCCTTGAACAAGTTTTCAACTTTCAAGAATGTTGACATTGTTTTGCAGTCATAGTTTGTAATGATTTTATTGAAAGGGGTAAAATATTTAATATTACGTTTCAGTATTTTGGGGATATTTGATTTCACAACAGGCAGTTTTGGTCTTTTTATAGTTGACAATGAGTTTAATGAAATGTTTTTTTCAAAAATAAGATTTAAGGCTATAAACATTGTACCCTCCTGACATAAACAGGAGTTTTTTCACTAAAGTATGGGGAGTTTTGCAAAAAGAAAGCTGCCAAATATTTGTTGTTTTTTTTTTTAAGACTTAGCACTGGATCAAACAGATGCATCTTGAGGGAGAACACTACATCATTGTGTTAACTACACTGGGTTTCTTTTTCATCCGTGTTTAGCAGAGTTTAAGTCTGTGTGTGCCTTGAAGCTTGTTTCCTCCTGCAATGTTCTGGAAAGTGAAAAGTGATTTCATTAAGAACAAGGAAAGAAAAGAAAAAAGGCATTGCAGTCTAGCATATAGTGAGCCAAAAATGAAATAATTTTTTTTAACTATGATGGTAAAAATAGTCTAGATTAGTTGGTCTGTTGTATTTCATATGTGTTTCTTGTACATTTTTAGGTCTAGAAGAAATTGCAAAAGAAAAAGAGAAGTTAAAAAAGGTAGAAAGCATGCATATCAAAGAAGAAGAATTTGAGACAGAAGAAAAAGTACACTGTTTAAATGCAACTCACTGTGAGCAAAAGGAGGATCTGAAAGAAAAGGACAACACTAATTTGTTTTTACAAAAGCCTGGGTCGTTTTCAAAACTAAGCAAACTGTTAGAGGTGGCAAAAATGCCACCTGAATCTGATATTATGTCCCCAAAACCTAATGGCAGTGCAGCAAATGGCTGCACGTTATCTTACCCAGGCAACTCAAAAAACTCCCTCTGCAGTCTGCAGCCCACTGTGCCCCCAAGCACCACGGAGAAGTCTGACTCTAACAATCTTTTCAGTTCTAATGCAAGTGGGACTGGGAAGTTGTACAGTTCTCCACTAATTCCAAATGACCAGTTGTTAAAGACTCTGACAGAGAAGAACAGGCAGTGGTTCAGCCTCCTACCCAGAACACCCTGTGATGACACATCTGTCACCCATCTAGACACACCAGCTACTGTGGCTTCACTGACTCCTCAGTCACATCCACCATCAAAGTCACCTTCACCTGTTCCATCACCACTTCTGGGCTCAACCTCTGCACAGAGTCCAATGGGATTAAATCCTTTTGCATTGTCACCACTGCAGGTAAATCAGTGAAAGTTTGAGTAGTCTGAATTTGCTGTGCTTGTCTGGGCAGAATTTCTGTTTAGACAAGTCATGTCCCGGAAGTGCTATCAGTAAATTTTAATTTTTTTTTCTGTTTCTAAATGTAAGTAACTAATTCCATGTTACAGATGTTTTATAATACTTTTTTTTTTTTTAAATGAAATGTATTAAGTTAGGTAAAATTAGGCAAGTCAGTGTATGATATTTTGTATGTGTATTTCTATAACTGAATTTCCTAGGTTCCCTCCTCATGGCAGGGGGGTTGGAACTAGATGATCTTTAACGTCCCTTCCAACCTTAATGATTGTATGAATTTAATTTTTAGGAGGTTGGCAGACCACTACCTCCCTTTAAAAACTGCCATTTTTAAATCATTAACAAGGCCCTAATAAGGAGAATTGAACACTAGTGTTACATTAGTTTTGCTTAAAATAATCAAAGTACTGAGTAAAGGCCTCCTTTATGTTTTGATTGCTGTTTGACAAGCAGCATCCTAATAAGAATCCAGGTTTCTTGGTAGTAGTTTATAATGGCAGTTGTGATTGTGTTAACAATATATTCTGTGTAGCAGATGAAGACTGGACTGCCTATAATGGGACTTCAGTTTTGTGGATGGCCTTCAGGAGTTCTTCCTTCCAATGTTCCATTTTCATCTGCTTTACCAGCTCTTGGATCAGGGTTGGGATTATCAGAAGTGAATGGTAACTCATTCTTGGCATCTACTGTTTCTGCAAGTAAAAGTGAATCACCAGCACTACAGACTGAAAAAACAGCTTCTGCCCCTTCTACAGCAGCTGAAGTAGCCAAACCAGTAGATTATCCTAACCCAAAACCTATACCAGAAGGTAAGTATAATACAACAGTAAGATGGAATATGTGAAAGAAAATTTCTACAGTGTCACCACGATGTTACAATTTATATATATGTATAATTTCCCTATTGAATTTAGCTAGAAGATTTCTCTAATTGTTTGTGTGTGATCACATAAAAAATGCCTGCAAAGTGTTTCTGTGCTTGTCTTGATTTAGAAATGCAGTATGGGTGGTGGAGGATTACTGACCCAGAGGACATAAAATCTTTGCTTAAAGTGCTACATCTCAGGGGAATAAGAGAAAAGGCCTTACAAAAGCAAATACAGAAACACCTGGATTATATCACTGTGGCCTGCATCAAAAATAAAGATGGTATGTAATTGATACTTATGTCGTGTGTGGTTTTGGGGCATCAGAGGACTGGCATAGAGCTGTTTGTGTTTACATGCAGAGTTAGAGCAGTGGCTGGAGAGAAAAGGAAAAGTTCTCCTTGTCTGTAGTTGCCTTTTCACCAGCCTTGTTCTGGAAAGATTGGAGAAATCCTGTTTAATATAAATTGCTCTAGTGGTGTAAGTGTTGGTGACATCTTTGAGCTCTTTCCATCTCTGTAATACGAGCTCAGCCTCTTACCTTCTTACCTTTAAATGGCAAGTTTGAAAACCTACAGGATTTGTTTTCTATGTTGGATATCTTAAGAATAGTTACAGCAGTTACTCAACATTTGACTGGAGTGACAGGTAAATCAGCTTGAATTTACTCAGAGAAGCTATAATGCTAATTAAAATAATAAAAATGTGATTCTCAAATACAGTTGCAATTATTGATATCAATGAAAATGAAGATAACCAGGTAACTCGAGATGTTGTGGAAAACTGGTCAGTAGAAGAACAAGCAATGGAGATGGATCTTGCTATTCTTCAGCAGGTGGAAGATCTAGAGAGGAGAGTTGCATCTGCTAGTTTACAAGTTAAGGTAAAACCAACTTTTAGTAAAATGTCTCTTTAAAATAAGTGGTAAGAATTGAAAGTAGATAGTAGCTGTGCTTTTGCTGTTGGTAAGTGCCTTCTTATTCTATCTCTAATTGTCTGCAAATGAAACAAATCCACTGCAGCAGTATCATTGATATTTGTTTGTGAAACATTTTAATTGCAGTTAAATCTTCAGCAGAAGATGCTCGGAATGGCAGTTCCTGGAAAGCATTTTCTCATAGTGTGTAGTTCCCTGCACGTTTTCTTAACCTTCTATGAATGCGAAGATTTTGTTGCAGAGAGACTGCTTAATTATAGTGGGTTTTGCCACAGCTTTGCCTTGTTTGAGTGGGTGTTGCTGTTAAGGCTTTCAGAAAAGCCTTACAAGTACATGGTAATACTTTGCTGGAGTGTTGTGGAGTCGTGGAGGACACGTGATGGGTGTGTGTTGGAAGAGTTAAGAATTCCTTGGCTGTCATTTCAGTGTAACATTTTTCCAAGGTGGGTAAGAATATAAAATTGTGTATGTTTGATTCTAGTACAGATGTAGGATTTGGGATCTAGTGTGTCTAGGAGTGGATGCTGTTTCTGTGTGACCAGTTGATACTGTCTCCTGAGCCTTTTGGACAAACAGGCCTGTTCTGATGTTCCAAGGAATAGAACAGGATACTGCAAAAGGAGATAAGGATGCAGACTGTTGCAGAAAGGTCCCTTCAGAAAGTCTGGTAATGCTTGTATTTCTTTATTAATTATTTTAGTTCTCTGGATATTTTGGAAACTGTCTCTACAGATGGATTACAAGTAACCACGACCTGCTGGAAACCGCGCTGCAGTCTCTTAGCTTGATTCCATAGAACAGTTCCTGTGTTTGCGCGCTGCGTTAACAGCACCAATAAATGCACAAACCTTTCTATTGACTTAGGGTTGGCTGTGTCCTGAGCCTGCATCAGAGAGAGACGACTTGGTATATCGTGAACATAAGTCACTTACTAGATTGCACAAGAAGCAGGATGGAGATAGTGCTGGAGGCGGAGAAGGCGGTGCCAGCTCTCTAGAGCGGAGGAGTGACAACCCTCTAGATATAGCTGTCACCAGGCTGGCTGACCTGGAGCGGAACATAGAGCGAAGGTATCTGAAGAGCCCCTTAAGTACCACCATTCAGATCAAACTGGATAATGTGGGCACAGTTACTGTCCCTGCTCCTGCACCATCTATTAGTGGTGATGGTGACGGGTAGGTTATTGAGATTAACTTGAAAAATTATTGTGCTTCTTTGCTAATTGGAGCCTATTTTCTTATTGCCTGTTATCTATGTACTTTCTTGTTATGTCTGTGATCCATGTGGATCATGTTATTCTGCATGGTGCTTTGTAAAGATATTTTTTGTTACGTTTGTTGATAATCTTGCGAAGTTATCTTACATTTAACTGGTTGTGACTAAGCTTTGAGGCACGTAGCCACAGTCTGTGCACTACATGAAATTTAGTTGCTTAAACCTTACACTTATTGGCTGTGTACGTTTTGTCATTGCTTGGCTTTCAATGTGATAATGATTGTTCCACGTTTAAACAGAAGCAAACATGGATGTGACCTACTTAATTTGTCTGTATTTCAATGCAGAACTGAAGAGGATATTGCTCCAGGGCTAAGGGTCTGGAGAAGGGCGCTGTCGGAAGCACGCAGTGCTGCACAGGTAGCTCTGTGCATTCAGCAGCTGCAGAAATCAATAGCATGGGAAAAATCTATTATGAAAGTTGTAAGTGTTTTTAATTCTAAAAACCCAATACTGTAACTGAACTACTTTTACCATATCCTACTTTCCCACTGCAGGCATTTCAAGTTAATCATCGGTAATAATGCCTTTCTTATTACTGTGTGTAAAACTTTAATACAGTTTAACTAGCCCTTAACTACATTTAGAGCCCCTGTAGCTGGTTGCTTTAAGATAGTAATAATTCTTTGTTGTCAATTAGGTAAAAAAGAGAAATTTCTGGCGCCATCTGATAGAAAATGCTCCATCTGATGGAATATTTCTGATCTCATCCATGACATAAGCCTTAGGGAGGTTCAGCATCTCATATCCCAGTTAAGGACTTAATTTTTCAGAAAGCTGAGATGCTCCAGACGTGTGGCTTTTTTACACACACACTCCTTGCAGCTGAGCATACAAAATGAGCAAGTGTGTGAGCAAACAGGCTGAAATACCCCTTTCATTGTACATTGAAAAAGCAGTTCTGTGCTAACTGCATATACAAAGAAGGCATGCAAAATTCATTTGTCAAAGTTGGTGTGGAACTTGGAACCTTAAATTTCTGAAAAGAAAACTATTACTCCAGCAGCAGCCATTAGGATGTGATTGAGTGTGGCCAGTGCTATGTATTGGGTGGCAAAAGTGGCTCTTCCATTAGTGATCTTTGCCCTAATGTTTTAGTTTCTGCCAGTCCTCCACAGATTCTGATTACATCTGAACAATTAAAGTGTGATGTAAATTGAAACTATAGTCTAAGGTGGTACCTATGAGTTAATATAGCAATAACTTTAAAGTTGCATCTTTAAAACAAAAAGTTTATTAATTTAGTAGGAGCACCTGCAAATGCATTTGAATGTTTCATTCTGTAGTAATTTATTATTCAGAAAAAGTATCACTCTCAATTTGATTGAAATTTTCTGTGCACTTAATTACACAGTAAACACAAGTATTTGGTGGAAACACGTGGAGATCTTAACTTCCTGACCAAGAAGTCCATATATACAAGAGTATCAAAATAACACGATGTCTGTAAGAAACTGACAGTGCATTAGCTATTTTAAGTTAGTGTGAATTTTAGCAAGTCCTGGGATCATTTCTTTTGTGTTACTGATTTGTTCACAGAGGCCTTTGGCTATGATTCTTACTGATTATTATCTGAAAATACTTTCGGAAAATATAAATTATTTTTATGAAATAGTAACTTTTAATGTGCAGTATGGGCATAAACTAAGAGCAGATTGCTGAGACAGCTAGTGTGGGCCAAGTGAGTTTGATAAGTTACCTGTACTTCTCATGGACATCAGTGAAATATAAGAATTATTCTTAGCTCTGTGCTGTAAGACACCTGTCTTAAAATGAATTGCTTTTCAAATGTATTCACAAATGGAGCCTTTAGATCAGTTCCTCCCATACTGCATATCATCTTCTTTAGTTTGAAGAAGAGGAGGCTGAGGGGAGACCTCATTGCTCTCTACAACTGCCTGAAAGAAGGTTGTAGGAGGTGGGAGTTGGGCTCTTCTCTCCAATGAATAATGATAGGACAGAGGAAATGGCCTGAAGTTGCACTAGGGGAGGTTTAGACTGGATATTACGAAGAATTTCTTTACCCAGAGAGTGGTTGGACAGTGCAACAGGCTGCCCAGGGAGGTGGTGGATTCACCATCCCTGGAAGTGTTTAAAAAAATGTAGATATAGTGCTTAGTGACAGGATTTAGGCACTGGATGGGTAGATTAGGTTATGGTTGGGGGATTTAGGTTGTGGTTGAACTTGGTGATCCTCAAGGCCCCTTCCAACCAGGATGGGTCTGTGACTCTATGATCTTCTTCTCCAAATGTGATCTTTATTAGACTCTGATTGTGGTAAAATGAAAGGAAAATTATTTTGAGGGGAAGAGCAGTTTAGTTGCCTTCCCTGTGTTTCAAAGTTTAAAAGCTGAACTGAACCATCTTTCATGTGTTCCAGTACTGCCAAATTTGTCGAAAGGGAGACAACGAGGAGCTGCTGCTGCTCTGTGATGGCTGTGATAAAGGCTGTCACACCTACTGCCACAGGCCCAAGATCACTACGATACCAGATGGGGACTGGTTTTGTCCTGCCTGCATAGCAAAGGTAATTCTAACCATAAAGGTAAAGGGATTTAGAGTGACCTTGGTCTAGGTCTGCCAGTGCTTTTTTTCCATTAAAATAAAGGTCTGTATGTTTTATGTAGGGCTGCCATTACGTAATGATGTTAATTGGATTTTAATGTGACAGTAAAGCTACAGTTTAGTTTGTTGTAAACTGCATTTTAAAAAATATGTTTATGTAATTAAATTATCTTTCAGAATTTTCTCAGTATTTGTCTTTTGTCCTTCATTGTTAAGTGTTGACAGACCAGTATCTTAGACTGTTTGAAAACAAAAATTGGAGAAAATACCTAGTAAATATTTTTTTATTTTTGTACAGCATACTTTAGTTTTACTTTTTAAATACACGGTACATTTGAGAGAGAGGTTATGTATGTTTCCTTTGGGCAGTTGGGGGTTTTTCCCTATCCCAAGAAGTTTACTCTAAATAGAATTTGAGGATACTTCTTTTCAAATGACAGAATTAGCATTTAGTTGTTTAAAAGTCCAAAATTTTTCAATCCCTAGTTAGTCCTAAAATTAAATGCACTTTTTGCTAAACTTGTGTGCTACCTGCACCTGTCAATGCTGTAACTGAAGAAGTTGCTTCAGAGTAAATACTGAGTGTTGTGTTTTCTCTGTGTATTGTCAGTGATTCTTTCTTGTGCATCTTTCACGAAGTAAAAAGGAAGACAAATAGTTTTTAAACCAGGTTACTGATAGGAATCAATGTGTAGTAGTTTATAAAGGGTTAACTCATGCTGTAACTTTTTCTGTCCTTAGCATGGTTGTGTTGCAACTTACCTTGTTACAATAAAACTTACCCTATCATGCTATAACTTACCCTAACACTTCTCTTGATTTTCCACCTCCCCACCCAGTCTTTCTAGTGTTCTGTGTTAAGTAAAAGGAATTCTTTACATGAAATACAGTTTTCCACGTTCATTCAACATCTGATTTATATTAACTGACTACAGTTTTCTCCATGCTAATTACATTCAGTGCTAAATGCTTAAAAATTTTATGTATGACATTCATGAAATAATGGAATTGCATTGTCATGGTTTCTGGTAGGTAACAAAATCTGCATATGCAAAACTCTGAAATACTGTTTTAGATACATGCAGGTTTAGACAATTTTAAAAGCCAATAGCATTTTTAGGAGCATATAAAATACAGATTTTACAGTTTAATAATTGTTCAAACTATCTGAAGCAAGTCTTAGTAGCACAGGCAGAGATTAGTGCTTTTCATGCTGATCCTTCATGACAACTGTTGCCTATCTTTTCATGCTTTGGCCGTCAGTCTCATCAAGTACTTCACTTAACATTCCACAAGTTCCTCATCTAATTATCAGAATGATGAGTTCAAATACTGTGCTGTGTTATGATGCTGTCAGTACCTATAATATTTTACTTTTTTGTCTTAAATGTACCCCTTGGTTTCATCTGTCTATAAATAGTTCTGTGTTCCTTCCCCCCCACCCCCCCACTTACTTTGTAACATTCTCGTATTGTCATGTGCCTTTTGATGTTCTCCTGTAGTCATCTTGTAGCCAAGCTATCTGTATCTTTAATATCTAGCTTTTAATCTTCAAATAAGTTGATCCCATCCCTGACTTCTTATAGGTTTTCCATATCTTGCAAACAATATGGTTACTTGAAAATTAATATACTATTCCAGCTGTGGTTATATCAGTCTTTTTAGGAACTTTTACCTATCTGAAGGTCAAATGCTTTGATATTGTCAAAGTTAAAGAACCTAAATCACTAGTAACAGGAATTTCTACAGCCATTCTTGCCTTTAGAGAAGAGCAAAGTGAATTATCTCAGACCTAAAATACTTCAGTTGTTTCAGTGCTTCTTTTTGTCTAATCTTCATTGCTCTCTATGAATAGTGGCAGGGCTTTCTGTAATTTCTTGGTTATTGCTTATTTCAGTTCTCTCTATTATAGGCGAGTGGTCAAACTCTAAAAATAAAAAAACTTCAAATCAAAGGGAAAAAAAGTAATGAACAAAAGAGAAGCAGAAAATTAGCAGGAGATACAGAGGATGAAGACACTGCAACTACAAGCGCCTCCCTAAAAAGAGGAAAAACAGACCCTAAAAAAAGAAAAATTGATGAAAACGTTTCTGTAAGCCAGTTGAAGCAGGATAATTTTACTGCTTTTAAGAAACCTAAAAGAGATGACTCCAAGGACCTGGCTATATGCAGGTAAAGACAAATTCTAAAATGTTGCTGAAATAAATAAAGCCTGATTCTTTTTATCTGTGTTCTGGGGAACAAGAACCCCATTCTTTGTCATGTGTGCCATGCTGATTGTGACAATTTGATTGCAAATGTAAGGGATTTACTGTGTCATGTTGCAAATAACTGCTGTATGTGGTAATGAAGCCCAAGAGGGAAAGTACCTAATGTTAGAAGATGGTCTCTGAAGTGTCCTCCCCCAGGCATAGGCAGACAGGCCCCTGGCCACAGGGGTATTGCAGCGTTCTGCAGTGTAGCCAAGGTGATGGATCACCCACTGTCTCCAAAAGGCGTTGCTTTGCAGAGGGAGGAATTGGAATGCATCTGCTGCTGTGGTCTTGCTGATCAGTCAACCACCACTAGTTTAGCTTCTCACAGTTTTGACATACCAGTGTTAGCACCTGCTTTGCAAATGGTTTACGTTGAGATTCAAAACACTGAAGTTGCAAGGTCCTATTTTTCTTTTAGAAAGTTGATCACTAGAGTTTTGTCTTGCATAGGTTGCCTGGAAAGAACTTAGTGCTATTTTCAGTACTCAGTTAAGACGTCCATCGTTGTTGACATGGTTCTCAGCCAAACACAGGGCACAGTATAATAAAGTGCTTTCCTTTTATTAAGTGAAAGTTTGGCAGTACGTGATGAATTTATGAAGCAGTGAGAAACTTCTGTGAATGTATGAACAGCTTAAAAATACTGATTTAAAACCTTATTTTATTCAGCTTGATTCTCTCAGAGTTGGAAACTCATGAAGATGCCTGGCCTTTCTTACTTCCTGTAAACTTGAAACTTGTTCCTGGTTATAAGAAAGTTATTAAAAAACCTATGGACTTTTCCACCATTAGAGACAAGCTAAGTAGTGGACAGTAAGTAAACTTATTGTGAATTTTTCTTTACATTTTAAAAATATTGAAACATGGAAATATAATACTTAAAAAAATAGTTAAACCATTCTGATCTTCCTGCTCTGGCACCTCTGTGAGTACCTTTACAGTCAAAATAAAACTTCTTAACTATATTTTTGTCTTTGCCATACCTAAGTGAAGTAGCATGTCAGGTGAGAGAACCTGACTGTAAAACAGTAAAACTGCCAGGTCAAATGCATAAAACAAATCACCAGGGAAATCTTTTTTCCTCATCTTTTCTCACTGAGCCATCTTAGTGTTGTTAGGTGTAAGCAGCAATTAATTGTGTGGGCTTTAAGCTGATGGTGCCCCTGCAAATGGTGTTGTAGCTGTCAAGTGAATTGGTTGTGTTTTCCCCTGTTGTGGGAAGCCAGGTGATATTCCAGTAACAGTGGTTAATCATTTTATAGTTCTAGAATTGGGCTGCATGACTTCCCAGGACAAAAAAAGACACTGCTCCTCTTCCCCCCTTGTTACATCCCTGTGCTCTAATGATTCTCCACCACCAAAGAAAATTTTGTCATCCTTACAAATCGCCCCTCTTTAGCATCCCTCAGCCCTCACAGAGCAGGTTCCTGACACAAGGGCCTTCCTAACCTTTTCAGGCTTTTTCTCCCTTGAATCTGAGGTCTAAATGCTCCACACATGCAGATTGGATTCCATAGACTTTAACTCCTACTGTTTTGCTTTTAATAATTCCTGTGAATATTGAACTCAATTTTGCCCATGTACGCTCAGGGTAATAAAAGAGCAACAAGGACAATGTTACAGGATTGGTTTGGGCAGCCTTGGCACCTGACAGCTCCTCTCTCAGGTAGAGGCAGCTGTCCACAGCTGGCCTAGGAAGGAATTGTGCCCAAGAATAGATGAATAAATGGGAAGTAGCCATAGGATTTTAACTAGAAAGTTACTGAAGGGAAGGGGACAGTTAATTTTAAAGGTATTTGTATTTCAGTTCAGGCTTGAAATTTTACTCTGCAGAGTTTTTGAGGAGAGTAATGAATATAATGATGAGAGAGTATTTCCTTACACTGATGTCCATTTTCTTGTTAATATTTAAATTAGAATTTAAAAAATAAAAGTCTAATGAACATGAAAGCATTCATTGAATATTCTGTGACTGGTTGTAAATTCACTGATGTTAATGCAGTTCTTTTTCATGTAGTTGAAGTGTTTTTCCCCTTTGTTACTCCATGGTCCAAAAATAATTCACCTTTTTCTTCTTCCAGGTACCCTAATCTTGAAGCATTTTCACTAGATGTCAGGCTTGTTTTTGACAACTGTGAAACCTTTAATGAAGATGATTCTGACATAGGCAGAGCTGGCCACAACATGAGGAAGTATTTTGAAAAAAAATGGACAGAGATTTTCAAAGTGAGCTGAAATTACCAGAACTGTTTTTTCTTTGTCTCTCTCTTTTTTTTTTTTTCTTAATTTCATTAAATGAGGACTGATAAGACCAGAAATGTGAACTGTATTTACATGGAAGTGCAAGGCACCTGCATAACTCATGGCTGTTTTTTTTTTTCCCTTTAAAGGCTTCACTCCTACAGCAACCATGGCCCCTAGGTTACTGGTTTGTGTGTTTTAACAAACTAATTTAGGTAGAACAGGGAAGCACACCCAAAGAATTTCAAAGAAAGGGGTGTTATAGTGCAATAGCAATTAAAAAAATCTCAAAACGCACTGAATATTCAACCACCAGAGCTCTACTCGGGGAAATGGTTCTCTTTTCCCTTTCAATAAATATCTATTTTTCTTGTTTTGGTTTTTTTTTTACTTTGTAGTTTATTTTTTAGCAAATGTATTTAATTTTATGAATTATTTATGATTATACAGCATTCAGAATCTTCGTTTTCTGTGAAAAGGAAGAATTAGAAAATTGCTTTAAATCTTGAAAATACAACAAGGAATGTTTTAAAATATAAAACAAAGCCAAGTAAAACTGTTTACACTGATGTGCTGTAAAGGCACTAAAAATTAAACTTTACTGTAGAGTTACAAGTACATTTATATATATGTTGCTGCATCACTTGTGTAGTTAAATTGTATTTCAAGACAGTGAAGAAAAATTGAGACATGTATATACTGTTCATTATTGTTTATATTAAGTCTTGTTTTAAATATGTATTATGTGTACATATTGTTTGCAGACATTATTGTTTATGCCTTAGGAGGACAGTAGCATTTTATTTTAGTCTTAAGGTAATTATAGCTATATGGCTTGTACAGTAATTATCCTCTACCAACACTGTGGAGTCTCCTTAATCTTGGTAGTGCCTGCCTTTAAAACAGGGTGTAGGGGATATTAGTTTTCCATTTTTCTATTTTGTTACATAATTTCAAGCCACCACGGCCTCAAATTCAAGTATAATCGTTTGTATCCATGTGGAATAAACTTGTGACGATTTCCTACGCACACAGTATTTTTTCATGGAAACATTTTCTTCCATTTGCCTTGCCACAGAAATAACAAAAAAGACATTTGTAACCACTGTGTTTTATCTACTGTGTGTTGTGGTGGCCTGTCAGGGCAGATAGATCAGAATTTTTTTTTTTTGTACTAATGTAAGAGTACTTGAAGTTTTATTTAAGAGAAATGTTGTGGAAAGGTAGCATTCTTTTTCTTTTCCTTTTTTAGGAGTGTTATTTTTCACTAGTATGTGTGGCACGGATACAATAAAAGACTGTTTTGCAAACTGGATTTTCTTCACGATTTTAATACTTTGTATCCTGTGTATACAGGATTTTTTTATGTCCTGGGAGTCTTGGATGTAACATTCAGGTCTGATTATGATGCATGTAATTCTCTTGACCTTTTAATGATAACTCAAAGAGAAGCAGCTGCCAGGCAGAGTGCAGATCAGCCACCTGTTTGAAGGAGCATAAATGGTATCAGCTGCAGGTGCAGGTGCTGGGCCCTCCTGGTGTCTGCTGCTGGTGTGAGTGCACCTGAGAACATGCTTACATCCCACCTGGAGTCTTTCTGAAAACCACTGGTCATGCAAAGTTTTGCCTTCTGTTTCGGTCTGTAGAGGGGCAGGAGTCATAACCCTTGTTCTGGCTGAAGAAAACAGGAATTAAAAAAACCCCAATGCCTATAGCTCCCTCACCAAGTAATGTTTTGGGGTTTGTTGGGTTTTGGTTTTTTTTTGGGGGGGAGGGAGTTAGTTTTTGGTTCTAAACTAATGTTTGAGTCTTCGAGTCTTGCTTTATATACTCCCTTGCCATTATATTTCTTGTCACTGCTGAGAAATAACAGTCAGTTCCTGTTTTTTAATATGTGGGTTTTTTTCTTTTGCCCTCCACAGAAAATCTTGATCAAGAATATTTATCTTTTCTGAAGTCCTGTTGGAATAATTCCTGTTAACTAGAGTAAAAAATTCATATTTGAGTGTCAGGCAGTGTGGCATTCTCACATCAGCTCCACCACTGGCTGCTTCACACCTTTTCATCACCTTACTGGTTAATACTTTATTTGCCATACTGAATGTAATATTGGAAAGTCAGAACAACATTACCAGCTACACTATATATATCCTTGCATTTTTTCACCTTGTATCCTAAGTCAGCTGAGAGCTGGGAAAGTCAAGGTGGTAACAGCTATCACAGCTGTGACAGTGAGACAGGCATCACCTCCCCAGTCTGGCATCACCAAGGTATTGCTTTGCTCACTAGTAGCTGCTGCCTTCATTGCTAGTTAGTAAATTTAAATTTATGGGAATTATTACATTAGAATGGGAAGCTTGAATGCCATCATGTATCTCTGTAGAAAAGAGCAGGGATTTAGCCAGTAGAAACGTGTGCTTAACTTTTCTTCTTTGCTGATGTTCTCTGCTGTTGATGTTTCAGTCTGTCTGTTCTCTTAGAGGAAACGTTTTCCTTTGTGCTCTCTTCCTTTCTGAACAAAGTATGCTGGCCTTGGTTTAGAGAATTTGTTGATGAGCTGTTGAACTCTTAAAACTACCATTAATGGTGCTCAATGACCGGTGTTCTGGTTGTGACTATGGGGTCTGTCTCTTGGCATCTCTGAAAAAAAACAAAGACTATATAAATGCTGCTGGAAATCAGAATTGTCTTGGACAAAATTTGTTGCTATAAAAGGTCTGAAGCTTTTTCTTTAATCTTTTATATGGTTTCTATAGTTTCCTGATGACAACTAGGAGAGTAGAGGTGCTCTGTTACCTGTGAAGGGGCACAGACATCTGAGGAACGGTCATTTTATGTAACACAAAGAAGGGGTGGCCTGGGGCGACTTTGTTCATTAAGCTTTTATCATTCCTAGATGTCTTGGATTTACCAAACATGCCTGCAAACTGAGGGCTAAAGAGATAAATTGGGAATACCACAATTATTCTATTTGATTTTGTAACTCTTTTTGAGCTTAGAACTTCCAAGTTAACCAGAAGGTTTTAGAGCTGGATCAAACAGCATGCGATGGGGTAACATGTGCTGTGTAGCAGAATGCAAGGCCATGCAGACCAGACATGGATGGCAGCCCAGAGGTAGGGGAATGCTACCTGGGCAGTGCCTCCCAGGAAGGTGAATTTGTTTCCCTCAGAAAACTGTAGGTGTCATGATAAGCCACTTACTTTGCATGAGTTGCTATGTATGTATCTGGATGTGAAAATGGGACTGATGCATATTTCGTGATGGAAGGTGAGGTGGGGGGAGTTCTGGTTGTTGGAAACCCCTTTAATTAAGCTGTTAATAGCAGGTAACTTCAGGCATTCGCTTTCCCCGGACTTACCCTTCCCAGCAGCTGGGAGGCCAGCCCAGCCGGTGTCAGCAGAAAACACCTGAGCCCTGGGGGCAGCCTGGGAGCTGCAGGCACAGGCCTCAGATCTTCTGTTCCCCGAGCTGTGCCCGCAGCCTTGGCTCTCAGACGTGTCTGTATCACTGGCACCCTCAGGGTC